TTGCACGCCGTTGTGGCGCGAAGCACATCTGCCAGCGAAAAAGTTCAAGACACCTCACGTTCGGAACACTTTTGGAAGTTGAGATGTCGAAAAAGTGCACGCTGTTGTGGTGCGAAGCAAATTTCCAAGTCAAAATGTGCAAAGCACCTCAGCTCCGGACCACTTTTGGAAGTTGAGATGTCGAAAAAGTGCACGCCGTTGTGGCCCGAAACACATTTCGAAGTCACAATGTAAAAAACACACCAGCTTCGGACCACTTTTGGAAGTTGAGATGTCGAAAAAGTGCACGCCTTTGTGGCCCGAAGCACATTTCGAAGTCAAAATGTTGAAAACACCACTTTTGGACGTTCAGATGTCGTGCCGCGTGACAGGCGCAAGGGATTGTGGACCTTGTCAAAAGTGAGCAAAACATAGCAAAACGTGAGGGTTTTGTAACATTTCCACAAACGATGGCAGGCGTGGGACATTTGAAGAGGATCTGCAAAGATGCACTGCGCCATCAGAGCTGTTAGGAGGTCCGGGCGCTGATTTCCTTAGAGGGGTTGCATTTTGGAGTATCAGATCTTCAGGTTTGCTGAGATGATTCTGCGTGACAGGTGCAGCACTTCGTAACCTGGCATCACTTTTTCGTGGCAGGCGCAATACCTTAGACAGATGGACTGGAAAAATAGCAAAACGCATTGGTACGAGGTTGTCAGCTCTGCACTCAACTTTCCATTTTTGAAAGAAGTCTCGCAAAATTCTTTCGTTTTTGATGCTGTCAACTTCGAAAAATGAAGAAGTCTCGCAGAATTGCTTCGTTTTTGACGTTGTCAAGTTCAAACATTGAGGAAGTCTCGCAGAATTGCTGCGTTTTTGATGTTGTCAATTGTCAACTTTGAAAAATTGAAGAAGAAGTCTCGCAGGATTGCTTCGTTTTTGACGTTGCCAAGTTCAAACATTGAGGAAGTCTCGCAGAATTGCTGCGTTTTTGATGTTGTCAAGTTCAAAACCTGAGGAGGTCTCGCAGAATAGCATCGTTTTCAAGCTTGCAGATAGACAGGTAGATAGATAGACAGACAGAGAGATAGAGAGATAGATAGAGAGATAAGATAATAAGATAATAAATATAATAGAATAGATAATAAGATAGATATAGATAGATAGATAGATAGATAGATAGATAGATAGATAGACAGATAGATAGATAGATAGGTAGATAGATAGATAGATAGATAGTTGGATAGATAGATAGATAGATAGATAGATAGATAGATAGATAGATAGATAGATAGATAGATAGATAGATAGTTAGATAGATAGATAGATAGATAGATGGATAGATAGATAGATAGATGGATAGATAGATAGATAGATAGATAGATAGATGGATAGATTAGGTAGGTAGCTAGGTAGCTAGGTAGGTAGCTAGGTAGCTAGGCAGCTAGGTAGGTAGGTAGGTAGATAGCCAGAGAAAGAGACAGAAAGAGAGAGAAAGAAAGAGAAAGAGAGAGAAAGAAGGAGAAAGAGAGGAGAAAGAGGAGACATCAATCACCTTTCGATCCATCAGTGGCTTCGCTCTGCCATCTGTGATTCACAACAGCCAGTCTCTTCTATAGGTTTCCTATTTTTGAAACTTCCGCCACCGCCTTGTGCGGCACTACTGGTATGTAGACAGCATCAGCATGCAGGTGGGACCTTGCTACTGTACCATGGATATCAATGGCTTACACGTTAAGTGAATATACCTTGCTGAAGTATCGGTTTTATGTAATTATTACGTATATATATATATACTTTCTGTATGTAAGAGATAATTTCATAATATGTCATACATATGTATCTGTATATATATATATATGTTATATACATGCAAGATACACACAGGACTATGGCCGAATACACATCACAAATGTATGAACCACAGCGGTGCACTTGTCGAACATGGCGGTGCCATTCTGCTATGCTGGAGAAAGCCATACCCTAGCTTCCTGGTGGGAGAAGTTTGGAGCAGTTCACATGGCTGGATAACCGACATACATACCCCTTGAACGTATTTGAAAGTGACATGATGTGACATGTTTTTAGCTGAAAAATCGACATATTGGTATACATATTCCATTATATATATATTTACACAGTATATTTATCTCTTCATCCGTTCTTTTGAAAGCGGGAAAAGAATAGTTCATGAATCACGAAGTTACCCTTCACCCAGCTTCGCCCAGCTGGCACTGTGGTCCCAGAAACTCTTGGAGTTTGTGAATTTGGATCATCCCAAAGTCAGAAGAGAAGAAGTACCCTCTGGTTATTTAACAGTTTGCTATGGAAGCCATGACCCATTATGATTTTCCCAGCTAGAAACCTCCATTTATAATGGATTTTCCATAGCTGTGTTACATAGACATATGGTATACCTAAAGCTATAAACCTGATTTCTATAATTTTACCGCATGTGCGTGTAAGCGAGTCAATATCATCAACAAATGATTCAACTATGTAAAACCAAAATTGCCATGCGCATGGCAAAAAAAAATACGGTGGGTCCCTCAGCTCTCGAAAAACTTCACCCAACAAACAGCCTATATCTGACGAAAATCCAACAGCCACTATTCCTGGTTGGTGGTTTCAACCTACCCCTCTGAAAAATATGAGTTCGCCAGTTGGGATGATGACATTCCCAATAGATGGAAAAATAGAATTCATGTTCCAAACCACCAACCAGAATCAATAGAGCCTGAAAAAACCATCAACCATGTACTTACTAATGGATACTAATGGTGGCTTCACCAAAAGGGGGTGGTGAATAGCCATTATTAGCCATCTATTCACCATCTATGAGTGTTTTACGAACATCTGGCCGGTCGAAAATAAGCGTCAACTCTGTCTCTCCTTACTGACCCCAGAAATATGTGTCTGAACATATCTGAAACTAGGGTACCCATAAATCCCATGCTTCATCACTTCTTTCCCTTTTTTCAAATGGCCGTAACTTGGGGCTCCAACTTCCAACGTAACATGCGGTGGGCCAGGTTCCGACTGCCAAAATCCATGCCGGTCATACGAAAGTCGCTGAAATAGTCCCTGATTTACCATGGTTACTGAAAGTATGTATTGCCAATCTTAGATACCCTGCTTTTTTTTTGGCTGGTTAGTAGATATTCCCATTAATACCAAAAGACTAAAGGATTAAAGTATCCGTGTAAGATTGACCTAGTATATGTTCAATGAAAAATATATACTGGTTGGTGGTTGAGCCACCCCTCTGAAGAATATGAAAGTCAGTTGGGATGATGATTCCCAATATATGGAAAAACAAGAAATGTTCCAAGCCACCAACCAGAAAGTATATATTCAATGCAAAAAAAACTAGCTTTACTGAACAAGCAGCGGGTAGTTGGGGTGATATAGCGGTACACTTTGGGTATAACGAGAGTTTTGTCATAAAACCCACGATTTGGGTGACAATTATGATAAGCCAGTGGACTTATTTGCGCCATCCCATGAAATATTGCTTAGATATGTATCCCGTATCCCCAATATTGCACAATAAACCAGGGAGGTTTAAAGCGCATGATTTTTAGCATCCAGTTTGGGAGTATAGCCTAGCGGGGAAAAAAGACGTTTGAGCCATAATCACATTCATAGGATGTTAAAATGGACCCCTAGAAACTCATTTGGAGGGAAACCTAAGTCATGGGGATACCCCTATTTATCATCCAAGTCATTAGGCTATTATTTAGCAACCTATGATTTGGGAGATTTCCCATTTTAGGAAACCCCCATTTGGTCATATTTGATTCTACATCCAAAATTCGGACATTTTCCTACCTCGTGGCTGGATCTTCCCACTGTGCGCTAACTATGTAGCTGCTAACTATACACATGTAAGCAAATAGCATGCATAGTTATTTGGTTGGTGGTTTCAACCCATCTGAAAAATATTGTCAGTTGGGATTTTTATTCCCAATATATGGAAAAACAAGAAATGTTCCAAACCACCAACCAGATATATGTGCGTTTCCTAAAATGGGGTTACCCCAACAGCTGGATGATTTATTTCATGGAAAATCCGAAAATAAAATGGATGGTTTGGGGGTACCCCCATTTTAGGAAATCACCATATTTCCGACTATGTCTCCAAGTACGTATACACACCAATCCACATGTTTACAGTACATGACCACGCCCCACTCCGAAGCCATTAACGTGTACATATGGCCCACAAATTCTTAACCCAAACGCTTTAGGGTTTATCTGGGCTGATCGATCATATCAACGCTAGTGGGTGGCACACATTTTACATCAGAAATGCTTTGCAAACGATACATTGATGGATATTGACGTGTCCAAATGCACACATGCAATGTCAACCCCGGATTAATCAACCATGGTTTATTAATTAGGGGGTATTCCTCCAATAGTCATTTCATCTAATACTTACATGGTAGCCTCCCAATTAAACAACCGTAAATTGGGTTTATTAATCCAGGGTTGACATTACATGCAGTGGATGTGTGTGTACATGCATCTGCGTATTCTGGATGTGGATCAATGCAAATTTCCTGGACGATGCACCCAACCCCCAGGGCCCCAGTTGGGGAATCTCGACCAAACATGACGATGCTTTTTGGGATTCACCATCCATCTTTCGGTGATTCAGGTGGCGTTGGTTGACTCCTGATGATACACACAGTTTTGACCTGATCTGGTTGGTGGTTTCAACCATCTTGAAAAATATGAAAGTCAGTTGGGATGAGTCTTCCCAATATATGGAAAAATAAAAAATGTTCCAAACCACCAACCAGTGTCATATTCTGTCATTTTGCCACCCCAAGTTGGCATCTGCATAGCCCGCCGACTACAGCTTCGCTTCTATTTTACGCGTGCGACCAATCTGGATCCATGTTCAACCCCAGAACCAGGATCAAAATCTATCAAAATTGGCTAATATGAATCTCTCGAAATGGATTCTATCCAATCTATCAAAATCTTCAATTCATACTCATCTTAAATAATTCCCCAACACTTTCTCAGATTTCTCATGGATCCAGCAGAATTGCAGCATTTTTTGCACGGCTCAAATGGAGAATTCGTCCTCCTCCTCTTCTGAATCGAGACCATAAAGATGGGCTAAACGATCTCTCAGAACGAAATCCTGCAAGAGTGTTTTTGCATGGGGGATACATGGGGATACCATGAAAATATATGAAAATACCCTTAGTTTGCCAATAAAAATTGGGAAAGTGCCTCTTAACCCCGTGGGTTTCGAGCTTGGCTGAGCTAGTAGGCTCCGTTCCAGAAACCGGCAGCGAAAAGGAGGATGATTGGGAGTATTGTTTCAAACAAGAAACACTTCATCTGGATAAACTTTACTGATTCATCACCCTAAAAAGTTCGGTAATTTTGGGATAGCTACCCTTACTAACCATGATTTGATCCACCATGAGAGACGTTTCAAGCATGGGAAGTCTGGGAAAAGGAAAAGGCGTAAGACAATTTTACTACGCACAGGATAGGTTGTATAACTAGAATATTAATGATCGTTTTGGATCTGCTGTATCTCTTGATATCTTCGTCAAAACTGGGTTACACTAGCTACAGACAATCCAAAACATATTACATCCATATGTCCTTCATAGGAGATTGACTAGCTGGGAGTACTCTGAACAGCTGACTGAACATCTTTGGGGATCCACCTTGGACACTCTGAAGCTCGAAGCTCGTTGTTACTCTTGGAGCGCCGTCATTGGTGCAACATCCTCCATGGTTATCGTTGCTGACTTCATGTTAGAATGATGTGACATTGACCAACACTGAAAGACTATAGTGACTACTGGTTGTCAAGTGCAGTTGGATCAAAACCGAAAAATACCGTATTTGGGGGATGAAAATCTAAAAATCCCAGCTGTTTTGAGATTCACCAGAGTGCCAGGGTTTAATGCAACATAGTTGCACATACTTGAACTTGACCAAGCTGGCGCTGGCCATCGGGATCCATCCAAAGCAAAATGGTTAATGTCAATCTCGCATTAATAACTGGTTAACCATCTTGAAAAATATTAGTCAATGGGAAGGATTATCCCATATATTATGGAAAAATAAAAAATGTTCTAAACCACCAACCAGATAAACTCTGGTTGATTGAAAATTCGGGGTGAGAATAATGACAAGCTGCATTAATCTGCATCTGTGAGCTCCCAGCCACTTCCTGTATCCCACTATCTCCAAACAACAAGTGGCCATAAGTTTGTCTCAGCATTGTGTACCCCCAAATTTCCATGCTTCATCACCATATGTTCCATTATAAACTGGCAATTTATCGGGTATCCCCGTTTTGAGACACACCCATGTCATATGGGTGGTTATATACTCTATTGTTCCATCGTATCCCAAGTATATTGCAGTCTTGTTGGTTACATCATGATTTTTGATGATCTTTCTGTGACAAGGCTCGCTTCTTGTCGCCCCTGAAACGGACCTTGCCCTTGAACTGATGCTTTCGCTTTCAGCTTCCTTCGGAACTTGGGGCCAGCAATCGATTTCGTTGGGAAAAATCTGGAAAAATCTGGAAAAGTTGAAACCCATCTCACAAACTATGGGGGTAGACCCTGCACATATATTTTTCAACCGTTTCTGGGTTTTTTTCGGGCCAGAAGTTTCCCCTGAACAACCTGATCTGAATGAGCTTACATGAATTACATAATATCACATGGTGATTCCAGAGGACAGGTCACCACGCATCATGGAAACATGACATATTGGGTGGACAAATAGAAAGATACATTTAAAAAAACATAATAAATACATAGCCATAGTCATAGCTAGAAAAATATATCAACAATGATTAGATAATTCTGGATGGATGTATCAAAACAATAAATGGATAGAGATATTGTGTTCGTTCTTTCGGAGCTCCGCAGCTGCGGCATCCACTGTGGGCTGAAACTGTTGGAGATGTCATGAATGTCATGTGACTTTCTTAAGGGATACATGGTGAATCTTAGATACCTGGCAAAAAAGTTCTAAGCTGGTTAGGCCGAATTTGACCATTGCATTGCAAAAAAATGAGCATACTAAAGCATCTATTCTGGGGATGTGATGCCCAAAACTAGGAGATTGGTCGTCAACACTTCACTAATCTGTTGCTTGACGCTTTAGACCGGAAAAGACATGAACATCTCAAACGGGGATCGTCATTCCATTTTCAGGAGGAGAAAAAACTGTGGAAACCATTCTTCATTATCTATGAATTATATATTATGTATCTATTCATCCGCTATTGCTGGTTATATAAATATATATGGGGGTTCTTAAGTCATGGGGAATCCCCAGTCATCACCATGGATTTATAAAAAAATGACCTCAGTCATGGACATCGACTTGGATGGAACCTCCACATAGTCCCATCTTATTCCCTAAGAGGGATCCACCCGTGGTTTCCCCACCCTCGGCTGGAAAATCGAACTAAATGGCGGATTTGTTTGGGGGAATTTCATGGGATTTCATGGGAACATATGGGAAACTCATCGAACTAAATGCGGGATTTTCCAGCCACGTTTGATTATCAGAAGGTATTCATTTAATTTATATATGTCGTAACCTCGGAAAATCAAGAACATGCTAAATTCACCTTGCTGTTAGCACACATTTCACAGTTTCATCTTTCCGGAGGTTGCTTAATATGGCCAAAAAAAGTAACTGTCCAACCAGTCAGTTTACCCAGACACGATCGTACTAATGATACTAATGGCCAAGGATATGCCCAGAAAAGACCTGCTATGCGTCAATGCTGAACAGACTAAAGGATTACTCCCTAGTAATCCAATATGGTGCAAAACCTCAGTGGATTCCAGATGTTCCTTTATTTTCTCATCAAACTAAGGATTTCCCTGGCAGGTTACACTGTCGCTTATGTGGCCGCTGATTGGATGGCTCACTGAAATCCACTGTCAAAATTTCACCGTTGTGTTTTTTCGGCTGTTTTCTGGCCACGTACAGCAGAAAGTCATTGCCCCTTCCAATACTGGAGCACTGTTGTTGGTTGATCCACTGATCTTTCCGCCTTGATCGACTACCAGGAAAAGGGCAGCACACAGCGACATGTAACATATTCCTATAGGAAAACATCGCAAAAAATGCTTGTAGCATTACAGGTAGCATTGGCTCCAAGAAATTGATGCTCTGGCGATGAAACGGTGATGTGTGAAAGTTGGAAGCGTTTCATCAGTCAGTTCTATGCTGTGTCATGTCCAAGGTACACCTCAAAAAAAAACAATTTCCAGCTGTTTCAACATATTTCCACATATTTTGGAGATGGGTTTCCACTTCTCTGGTGCCGTTTCCCAAAAATTTCTGGGAATCACTTGGGATCATCGTGGAGAACATCACCCACGCTCCAATCCACGCCAAAAAAGGCAAGTTTCCGACTTTATATCGAGATTCTTGGTATTCCTGATGGGCGAAAACATGGCTGATGATTTTTTTCGAACTCCTTGATGATTTGTTTTTGAGGACCAAATGTTTTCACGTTTAAGGACCATTTGAAAATCATCGAAGTCCAAAAAAAATCAAGCATTTTCCAACCACGGAGGACCATGGCTGGTAACGTTTTGAATATTCCGAGGCGGTTGAGCCAGCGTTCCATTTTTTGTCCGTGGGGATCATTCTCCGATTGATAGGGTGAAAATCAAAATATTTCACAAGTGCATCATTATAGGGTATGTAATGTATGTATATATATATATACACATGAAATGATACATATTCGTATTAAAAATATATATATATATATATTGTTTGGTGAATAGCTATTCATATCTATCTTATAGTAACTATTATAGTCACATTTGTTGGCTTTCTGATTGGGCCCGATTAGCCATACGTAAGAACTCATTGCCAAAGTATCGACTGCAGTATGGGGATTTGAAGGAACACCAGGATCACCAAAAATAATGAATCCATAGGGCATTTGCTGTAAATATCCCAATTATATCCCAATTTTATCCTTAAATGCGGCTTTAGACTTTAGCAAAAAAACAAGACAACCAACACCAAGCGAATTGACATTGACAGAATCAAAACACCTGTCCTAACATTTTTCCCCAAAAGACATGGATAGGTTTCAGCTTTGATTCTACATGATATAACTCATTCCCCTGAGTTGTGGCTTGGACCGAGGCTTGGACCCGGTGACCTAGCTATGTCATGCCAGAATCATAGGGGAAACATGTCCAAAAAGGGGTGATTTTTGCAAAAAAAATAGACCACTAACAATCCCAGCTTTCTTCTTTGTGTCTAGTTGGCCCATGTTGGATCAGGCACTGGAATCCGCAGGTCTGGGATTGCTGGGATTTATGAGTGTTCATCCATCCTCCCTTTTTTAATGGTATAAAATAGGTGATCCATAGCCATGTGTAAAATGTATGCCACAACAAAAATATATAAAAATGCTAATTAATTGTGATTAAGTTCCAGAAGTGCGAGGGGGGTCTTGTCTCGAAACCATGTAGACATAGGTAGACATACGATTCACGCGGGCGCATGCACATGTGTGCTGCACATATATCTGCATACGCACTTAGAATACGAATACTCTAGATACGACAACCCGACACACATCTACGCATTTTTTTGTGAATGTCTATCTATCTACCTACCTACCTAATCCTACCTAATCCTACCTAATCCTACCTAATCCTACCTAATCCTACCTAATCCTACCTAATCCTACCTAATCCTACCTAATCCTGCCTAATCCTACCTAATCCTACCTAATCCTACCTAATCCTACCTAATCCTACCTAATCCTACCTAATCCTACCTGCCTACCTGCCGATCTATCTATCTATCTATCCATCCATCCATCTATCTACCTATCTACCTATCTATCTACCTATCTATCTGTCTGTCTGTCTATTTATCTGCCTGTCTGTCTATCTATCTGTCTGTCTGTCTGTCTATCTATCTATGTATGTATGTATCTATCTATCTGTCTGTCTGTCTGTCTGTATGTAGGTAGGTATGTATGTATGGATGGATGGATGGATGTCTGTATGTACGTACGTACGTATGTATGATTACTCTGTGTCTGTCGCTCCGTCTCTGTCTCTCTGTCTCTTTGTCTGTGCGTCTCTCAATCTCTCAATCTCTGCGTCTCTGCGTCTCTGCGTCGCTGCGTGTCTGTGTCTCTCTGTCTCTCTCCCTCCCTCTCTCTCCCTCTCTCTCTCTCTCCCTCCCTCTCTCCCTCTCTCCCTCCTCTCTCTCTCTCTCCCTCCCTCTCTCCCTCTCCCTCTCCCTCTCCCTCTCGCTCTCGCTCTCGCTCTCGCTCTCACTCACTCACTCACTCACTCTCTCTCTCTCTCTCTCTCTCGCTCGCCACGTCCGTCCGTCCGTACATTCGTCCCTCTGTGTCTGTCTCTGTGTTCGTCTGTCTTTCTGTCTGCCTGCCTGGCTGTCCGTCTGTCCATCCGTCCGTTTGTCTGTCTCTATCTAACTATTCTGTACCGTACGTACTGAACTGTGCTATAGGACGCTGTAACCATACTATGACTATCACTATTGCTGTTGCTGTTGCTATTACTATTGCCCTTGCTGTTATACTAAACTCTACAAGACTACACTGTACTATTCTATGTTATGCTATGCTATGCGATGCGATACAATACTTATACTATACGATACGATACTATACTAATCTATAAAACTATATATCTTATCTTGTTTCATCTTACCTCTTCTTATCCTATCTATCAATCTATCTATCCATGTATTTATCCAACCCTATCCAACCTGTCCTGTCCTATCCTATCTATCTGTATACATTCTATATACATATATGTATGTATGTATATATGTGTATATATATACATATATATATACGAATATATATATATGTATGTATGTGTGTAAACAGTATTGAGGACATCCATCACTTTTCAGTGTTCCGTTGCAGTGTAGCATCTTTTCTCACACCATTGGTCTATGGCGACCCAAAATGACCTACTATTTTGAGCGGGAACATCACATTCGTGCAGTATCGACCCAAATTTCCCCGGAAAAAATAATGCACTGTTACTCAGTGCGTGTTGGGCAACATGGATCTTGAATGCTTTATCAAACCTCATTGATTATTAGCTTCACTATGAACTGCTACTGGAGGGGGAATAGCTGCATACTTTCTTACCATTTCCACTACTAAACAAACAAAACTAAAAGCTCCAAGCTTCGATCTGACCAAAGTCGTCAAGGCAACCATTCTTAATGATGCCGACAACTTCTCCCGCACGAAGGTATTGAATCGATTAAATCCCGCTTGCTCGATCAAGGATAAGATCATCTTGCCTCAAAATGGCCAGCTGCCTCCAAAATAAAGCAAACGCGTGGGAAGGCCCGAAGATAGTAAGTTGCATGGCTGGAAAACCACCACTTTCACGGGAGCCTCATCTACAATGAGTATATCGATGTGGAATTTCCCTTGCCAGGTTTATCTCTTGCTTAACTCCGAGAATCATCTAGACACTGAATTCACTGAAATCTGATTCATAATAACTTCCAATAACGTCATTCCGGAAATGGCCAATTCATGTGTGGAATCATAATAGTTCATAATGGATTTGCACTTGCACCAATTTAAGGCCATTATCAGAAATGAATCTCTTACCAACCACCATTTATTTATAGGATAGACTGCAAAATCCCTGCCCCATATGGAGCCACTCGTAGCTTCCCTGCAAAAAGAATATATGTATTCGCTGGCAGATAAATAAATAATTATACATACGTACAGTATATACATATATAATTATACACACAGATATAAATATGTATATATATATATACATGCTGTATACATGTATACATATCCCCTGTTCTATCCACTTTTGGCAAACAAATGGGATTGTCTGATAGGGCACCCCCAAAATCTATCAAAATCCCACAGTTCAACATTATCCCTATGATATGACCTGATATGGCCATCAATGGGGGGGTTAAATCCTGCATTTTCAAACAAACCCATGTATAATAGTGATGATGGTTAGTGATGATTAATGTTGATTAATAGTATTAATACTCCATTACTAACCCGACTAACCCATCATCAGCTGATTGGTCGGTGGTATACCTACCCCTCTGAAAAATATGAGTTCGTCAGTTGGGATGATTATTCCCAACTGAATGGAAAAATAAAACATGTTCCAAATCACCAATCAGCATATATAATGCCATATCCCGAATACCCATTTTATCCCAACGTTACCCCCAATATCTATTTCGTCGCTTAAATCACGGCTTTTTCCCTTGGGAAAACGGGTCGGAAACTGTCAAATTCAGCCACGCAGCGATCGGTTTCCATCGTGGCGCGACTATTTTCCGCATCCACGGCGTTCAACATCGTTTTGATCAAGGCATCGCTTTCCACCAGACTGTTCTTGACCTTGGATGTCGGATGGGGCCCCCGTTGGAGAGCGTTTTTCGTTGCCTTATTTCAGTGTCGAAAAACGATGGTTTATGGTAGATATAACGAACTTGTTTTCATGGGTTTAAAAAGCAATTTATAAACCTTTACATTCATTTGGAGTTTTCCATAAACGGGAAAACGCCAATAGCTGGATGGTTTATTTGCTGGAAAATCCTATGAAAATGGATGATTTGAGGACCTGGATACCATAATTTTAGGAAACCTTCATGTCTGCATTTGTCATTCATTTGTCGACCTTTTCGGCAAACAACCAAATATACCAAGCTGTTTTGTTAGTACTTATGTCACACGTGGATGGTACGGGTCATGATATGTTATGATACCCTTTTCTTGGAAGATCACAAACAAAAACATATATCAAGAGATGCTGGAATGATACTGACCTTTACATGTACGACATTTTTGGGGATTTGAACAGCCTGTGTTGCAGGTGACTACCCGCATGAAAACATTTAAGAATTTTCTCCAATCCCATTTGTCACCACAATTTCGGCTATAGATCCCTGTATCTGGTGATGATTCTCCCACTGCCAGTTGAATATGATTTTTCCTCAGTAAAAAGAAACATCTTTCCTTTTGGATGCTTCAATCAGCCTTTTTTGAGTCGTAGATTGGGTTCCACGTTTTTCAATAGGTGGTTTCTCACCAGGAAACGCTTAGAAAATGGATGAGAAAGGATGAACATGTGTTTTTTCTTTTTCAGTTGTCATTTCTCCTGACTCCCGACTCGGCCAAGAAGCAGATTGCTCAGCTTCGGGGACGAAACCGCCTGGAGAGGCTTCGAATTCTACCCATGCGGTGTGGCTACGAAGCCAAGAAAATTCTATGGCAACATCATAGAAAGATCATAGTTTTTTTGAAAAACATATGCTATTGTCATATATATATACATACAAAACTTTCTCTGAAAATGAGATATAATTATCCACCCCAATTTATGGTTGCTAAAAAATCAGAATTGATGTTGAAACGATGAAATCTGCAGGATTTCAGTGAAGAAAACAAGGATTTCCTGCATGGAACGATCGATTCTGGTGAAATTCCACATGGATTAACGGAAGGACGTACAAAATCAGAACTCCATGATTTTCACCGATGCTTGGTGAATGGTTGGTGAATGTTGGATGGGTCCGGAAAATTTTCATGGAGGATTCTACAGATGTCCCATGATGTCAAAGATAAACAATGTGGCACGAAGCTTTCCCGTGTACATGTTGCAACCATACTAGTTGGTTGAGCCAACGGGCCCAAAAAACATCAACAAACATGACGTTCAATCAAGATCATCATCTTGTTTTTGGGACGGAACGTGGTGCCCAGTCAAGTAAACAAACCTGGCCCCGGAAAACCCCCATCTGATTTTGTGAAATTGTGCAGTTTACCCTGAGTCATTTGTTCTATCGAAATTGCCATAAATAGATAGATTGCCATACTGTGGGCCAGGGCCAGCGAAATCCGAATCAGCAGTTGATAGGTCGCTGGTCAACATCCCCTGATTTTCTTTGGGTTGAAAAACCATCCTCTCTCGGTGGTTTATCGGATTTCGCTGGCCCATCCACAGTAGCAATGGATGTTTCCAAGGAAATCCGAGGAACAGGACACTTCAGCGCCCACTTTCCAAGCGATGTAGATCTCATAGAGACACCAGGAGCCTCGCCGACCATTCCCAACGCAATGAACCAGCTCTCAGAACTACAGGATGGGGCCACCGTTTGATAGCGTTCAGTTGCCTTATAAGTAGCTGAATTCTATGGTTTATGGTAGATATAACGAACTAGCTGATGGGGATACCATCATGGTTTAAAAGCCAACAAAATAACTGAGGGGGCACCATCCTGTATTCATTCTCCTTAGTTCTGCATCAGAGAATACCCAGCTGTGTACAAAAGAAGATCTTATTTACCCCCAGACAGCTTCAAAAGTCACGTGGATGTGCATCCCAGTAGTGAATAACCCCCAATAGCTAACTCGAGATATCATACATAGAGAACAGAGGGAACTTGTGTAACCACTTATCATTCCCTGGATGCATGTCAAAGAGCATCCTGATCCGCATAAAAAAATTGGCCAATCCCCACTGAAGAAGTGAAGCCCCAAAAAATGACTGCCATTTTGAGGTCTAATTACCTATTGCTTGTGACTGGTAGAGGGATCTCATCCAAGCTGAGGCTCGCTCAGTCTTGGCACTTCAGATCTCAAGGAATCCCTATATAAAGGTTCCCCAAGCCGTCAGGCATGAGAAGTTTAGCCATCCCGAAGGTTTGCTTACACGGCGGTTTACTAAAATAGGGGTACCCCCAGTTCTCATCCATTTATAGATGGATGTTCCCTTATAAACCATCCAGCTATTGGGTATCCCCACTTATGGAAACCCCCACATGTGAGTACCTTCAAGTTGCTTTTGGATTTTTGAATCTGCATGATTTGCTTACAAAGCACATGGACCCACACGCCCCCACAACAATACTCTCCAAAAATCAAGAGTGGTAGTCGAAAACCAACCATTTGCAGATCCAGGCTGCCTATCTAAAATGGTAACGACCCCACCACGTTAGATCATGTCAGAGCACCAACGCATAAAATATGAGGTGATATGATAGACATTGGCAAATAGGGGTTGGAAGGTTAGTTTCCACTAAAAATTGGTGATTTTCAGGGTCTATGTTGATTTACCGGAGGGTATGAGGTATGGTTTTGGGTTTGCCAACCTTTCTCAAACAGAACCTTTCCAGCATTTTTCCACCATTTCACCATTTCAATGGAGAGTGATCTTCCCAAGTGATGCAGCCATTGGCACGTGTCAGCAGCAGCGGCTGTTCATGCGGGGTCAACGCCAGCCTGAGGTGACGCTCCAGGCACTTCACCCAATAGAAAGGGGGTCGAAGAACCCTGGTGCTGGTGGTGGTTTTTTGAAAGATGATACAACAGCAAAAACAACGACGGCGAGGACGAGGACGACAACGAAAACCACAACGAAGACCACAAAGACAATGACAACCAGGACGACAACAGAACCAGAACCATGGGTATTAGCCAGCAAAGCAAATGGGAGGGGTTTAGCCAACCACTTCCGGGAATTGAAGTGGGCGCTCAGAAAGTGCCATTTCTGGAGCTTCAACGTCCAGAAACCAGCCGATTTAGCCACATACCCAATAATCAGCGTTATTATTTATTATGATCACCCATTATATAGTTGTATCATATTACACACATGGTGATTCTTATCACTGTTGAAAATCCTATTTTTGATTAGAATGTCCGAATATCCCGTTAATATATTTACCATAGTGATAATATTAATATATCCAATATTGATATTCTAATAGTCCCATCCTATTTTCGAATAAAAAACATGTTTCAAAGGTTTACCAAGTTTTCCGAAACGGCCCTCGCTGAAAACAACGTCTCGGAACAACACTCGGCCAGGTGTTTCGATTGATCCTCAGCAATCGAGACAACACGACTTGGGACGACTTGGGACGCTGGGACGCAATTCCAAGGGGGTATATATATATTATTTATATATATAAATAGGATATGTATGGATATGTAACTTCAATTTCACTAGGCTTTATGGAGGATATAAATATATATATATATATATACAATACATATATATATATACAATACATATATATATATATGGCTACGGGCCACGGGTCAAAAGCCTGGTATGTAGTGAACCTCAAGTCATAGCTGGTAATTTTCGATGTTCATCCCACTAAATTTTATAGTAATGATACTGTGGATGGGTGCAAAATCCTGCACCACTTAATAGGTGGTCAACATCCCATTATTTAGAGGCTTTCTACCATGCTTTCGGTGGTGCAGGATTTCGCAACCATCCACAGTAGTAATAGGTTTTGACTCTATAGTTAAAGGGGATTACACATTTTATACAATAGTAATGATTTAATATGATTTAATTATACTTTAATCTAACTATTACTTTAATATATAGTAGTGATAGTAATTTATACTTAAAGGGGATTATAAACCAACCAACATCACGCCGGGAATGTCAACCCAACACCGGTGGAATTCTTGGAATTTGAGAAATCTACCGGTGCCAGGATTAGCTGGGAAGATGTCGGAACTAAAACCCATAGGAACTGATCCAGAACCGATTCTTTCATCGGAACAATAATATATCCTGGCTGGTGGTATACCTACCCCTCTGACAAATATTAGTCAGTTGGGGTTACTATTCCCAATATATGGAAAAAATTCATGCTCCAAATCACCAACGCGTAGATGATTTTTATGTGTATAGTGTATGAATGAAGGCGTCAATAGTAACCCCCAAAACGATGCCGAAAAGTAATTTACCCTCTGGTAATGACTAACATAGCGAACTGGAAAATCACCATTTTTAATAAGTAAACCATCTATAAATGGGCCAATTTCCATAGCTATGTTAGTTTACCATAGGGTATCACTATTCTTGTAGGATTTTGCCAACTTCTATTTTTTTGGTTGTTGCTTGTCATTGTTTGCCATGTTTGTGGCTTTCCGTCTGCGGGGTATCCGATGTTTTGGAGACAAACCGTGACATGAAGATCCGGCACATCTACCCTCTGGTAAACGTTTACAAAAAACTATGGAAATTGGCCCATAGAAATCGTTGATCTACCTATTGTAAATGGTGATTTTCCAGTTCGCTATGTAAACGTTACCAGAGGGTATATCATGTAGAAGTCCATTGGTTTGCTGCATGTGAATCCCATCAATCCAAAATGTTGACCATAGCTGCCGCTTTTCATGTCACGACTAGCTTCATCCCATGTATACATTGCAATCACCAGCTTCAATGAGAAAAATGGGATATAAACATCATATATAATATATATATATAATATATATATGTAAATAATATAAAAAATATTTAATATATAATACATATATATATAATATATAATTTATATTATATATATAATATAAATAATATATAATATAAATAATATATAATATAAATAATATATATAATATAAACAATATATTATTTATATAATATATCATATATTATATATATATTATATTATATGAATATATATATATAATAATAATAATAAACACTAAATATATAATATAAATAAAAAACAAATAATATATATATATATTGCATAAACATAATAAAATATATAATATATAAAATATATGATATAATATTAAATATATCATATATAAATAATATATATATATATATATTAAATAAATATATTTGATTTCCATTCCCCCAACTTACAGTTCGACCCTGCGAATCAACCGAAAAGCCCCAGTCATCATGCAGGGTCTATGATGCGGGCATGGGATCTTTGGACACACATATATATATATATATGTATTATATATATATTATATAAATATTATATATATATTATATATATATATTATATATTATATATATTATATATATAATACATATATATATATAATTGCGAACCAAAGAGTCCTGCTAGTCCTCACCAGCCCAGAGATCACCTTTGTTGCTCAGTCGGCTACTGCTCAGTTAGCGCCACAACCTTGCTTTGCAAGGCTGCAGTGAAACCGGAGTCACAGCTCACCTTGAACCAAAATGACAGGAGCAAGCGGAGTGAACTCAACGCGGCTCCCCAGTAGCCCTACAAACACAAGGGGTCAGACAACTAGGCACTTTACACCAGGGGTTGGGTTCACATTCGCCCCCCCTGCCTTGTGTCGCCACACCTTCTGCACGAATTATTAGGTCCGCGTACCAGAATGGTAACCGCAGGACCTCGACTCTGCGTCTTTGACCGCAAGAGCTTTTAGCTCTGCGTCTCTGACCGTGAGAGTCTAGCTGTTTGGTCCGTGGATTTTCCTCCAGCTTTCTGGGTCTTCTCTGCACGAACCTGAGTCATCGGAACCGATCCCTCACATACTGAAACCAGCCAGTTTCTGAATTGGTTCGATAACTCGCCAGCTTTGTGGAGCTCCACTCGCCAGCCTAGCTCGTGGTTGCCCCTAGAAGCGGTTGTCCAGTTGCTGCTCCCGGCGAGGACTTCCCAGCTGTCTTGCCATTCTATGGCCAAAACTTTGGCATGCTGGATCCCTTTGAACCCGTTTCCCTGTCTCCCAGCCTCAAGGTAGTGGCTTCTGAGCTCATTTCCTGTTCGCAGCTTAACATCAAGACCTCCCTCAGCTGCTTGTTCTAGGACCCTCTTCTGCTCTGCCATTCCGTTGGTCTGCACTTGATCAGCTATGACCTTGACAGGCACTTGATGCACTTCTGCGACTGCAAGAAGAGCACCCAGCAAATCCGTTCTGTCGATTGCAGAAGCGATCAGATCGATTGCTACGGGTCTTGTTTCAGAACAGCTGCGGAGCGCCAAAAGGGCCGCTTCCTGATATCGGCGTCAGGAGCCTGAGGGCCTTGGACTAGCACTTTGTCAGGCTTTCTATCCTTCTTGGGCCGATCCTTGTTTTCCGGTCCATGGGTGAAGGTGCTGTTCTTCAACGCTCTTTGCCCCGCGTTGGTCTCTTCAATCTCCTTCACCACTTCATGGGTTTCTTCCTAAGTCTCCGTGCCCCGGAAGGCATTTCCTCCTTTTCCATCCGGGCGGAACCTTTTGTCTCGCCGGACATCCTTGGAGAGGTTGGGCCAAATTTTCCGCAAATGCTGGATCAAACCTTCGGTCTTGTTGAGGCCTAGCCCGATCCCATCACGGTCGGCCAGGTGAGATTCCCAGCGCACTTCCCATTGGAATCCTGACAGCTTTCCCTTTTCAAGAGCGTCTTCTTCCAGGACTCTGATCTGCTTCTCCTCAGCTGTTTCCGAAAACAGGAGATGCTTACTTTTGATTTGATCGTAGACTTGGCCCGGATCTTTTTGCACCAATCCCGTGGCCAGATGGCGGCGGTGTACCAGCTCATACGTCTTCAGCCAATGCTGCTTCAAGCAGGCCTTCAATGTAGTCAGCTTTTCGATATCCGTTATTCCATCTCCATCGTTGGCCAACCCAATGGTGGCCTCAAAAGTGTCATAGAATTCTTGGACTGACCGATAGTCGCTGCACTCATCGTCCAGCATAGGCCAAGAAATCTTAGGAGTCACCTGGATCGTGGATCTCTTGCTCTTACGGTCAAAGCCTCTGTCATGACCTTTGCCTGTTTTTCCAATGCTCCAGCGAAAGCAGACGCGTCGAAGGCACGGCTTCCTTCTGAACGCACGTCGCCCTCGAGCTCCAGGAGGCGTTGCTTGAGCTGATCAATCTCTGCAGCATTTTGGCCAGGCCGAGTTTCCCTTCTCGGTTCCCTTGACCTGTCCTCTCCGCGACAAACGTCCGCAGGAGTTTCTTCCCGCAGGCCTTTCTGCCGCGGAGTGGCTGGACCAGCTCCTTGATAAGCGTCCACTCCCTTCTCCGGAGTGCCTTTGGTTGAGGAGAAAAGTTTTTGCGCAGACTTACTCAGCTGGCCTCCTCTTTCCTAGATCATCTCGAGCAGAACTGACACTCGCCTTTCATGCTCCTGCTCTTGCTCCTGTGGCGGTTCATCCAAAACAAGCAATTGGCGTTCCTCATCTGCCTCGTAGATCTTTTCCCAGTAGAGGACGCGGATGACCCGCCGCTCCATTGAGGCTTCGTCCACTTCTTCTCCAAACAAACTTGAGGCCTCCGACACCCGTCGCAACTTTTTTGCAAACCGGACTGCCGTTTCGGACCCAGGAGCGTAATCTTTCAGAAAAACATCCTGCAACCGAACAAGGGACATATCACGGAACACAGACTCACCACCAACCGTGGAAGATGCAGCCGACCCGCTTGGACCTATGGCCGGTGGTTCGGCGCCTTGGGCCGCTCGAACCCGGCCTTCCGGTGCCCTGGCCAGAGTAGTGGGATCTTTCTTCTTCTTCTTCCTCCTCTTCTTCTTCTGACTCTTCCAAGGCACCCCCGGCCATAGCCAACTGGTCCTTCCATTCAGGGCCGTGCAGAGCCTCCATCACAGGTGCGCCTCTTCTGCAGTTGTCGTGGTTCTTACGTCATCTCCATGTCTCCTCTTGCTCGGCCGCTGCCCATCCCTGGCGCGCCATCAGTTCCAATCTTGATAGGTCAATAGCCCTGGCCTTGGGACTATACCTTCTTCGATTGCTTCCAGCAATGTTCGGTCAAACATTCGTACTTCCCGAGCCATGCTGGCGGTGAGCTAGTAGCCTCAACCGTTTCGGTTCTTTCAGCTCAGATTTCCCAGAACAGCCCCCAAATGCGAACCAAAGAGTCCCGCTAGTCCTCACCAGCCCAGAGATCACCTTTGTCGCTCGGTCGGCTATGCTTTGCAAGGCTGCAGTGAAACCGGAGTCACAGCTCACCTTGAACCAAAATGACAGGAGCAAGCGGAGTGAACTCAACGCGGCTCCCCAGTAGCCCTACAAACACAAGGGGTCAGACAACTAGGCACTTTACACCAGGGGTTGGGTTCACATAATATATATAATATATACATATATACCAGCAGGATGTGAGTAGCATAGATGGGTCCACTGGACGCCACTGGAAAGGGGATTTATCCCACGTTGTAAGCCACAACTTTCCAAGCGCAGCAAGCATCGAGTGAGGGCCTTCAACATGGTTTGATAGATATCTTTGAGCCCCACCTGGCAGGGTCCCACAGGGCTTCAGGGATGGAAGATGGATGATGTTGATCCAATTAAGGAGGTTACTTTGATTGTGTCCAATTATTTTGATCTAAAATTATTTTGACCACATTGACAACGATTTCGGTACTGTACTGCAGGTCTTGGAGATATTTTAAATTCCAAATGATCGATCGATCACTGTCCAACGCAGAGTGAGGGTCACTATTGAAATGGATCACTTCGCCATATCTAAGGTCTGATCTGAAGAATCCAAAACTGTCAACAACGGCTTTTCATTCCCTAAGACCTTATAGCAACCCCCAAAACATAGAAAAGTACATTCCTGACTAAGATAGTGATGAATTACGTTTCTATCTTTTTGAGGGCTACTAGTTTTATCCTTATATACTATCATTTTTGATTTGGCAGTATATGCTTGGGTATGTGCTGGAGGGAATCCGGTGCTCACCATTCAGTTTGCCCTCCGGTAATGGCAATTGGAAAGCCCACCATTTGTAGACCCAGTCAGCCTGTTGAACATGGTGATTTGCCATCGCCCGCCAGTTTTTTTCATTTTGGAAGATTCAAAATTGGTGATTTGCCATTAATGATGGTGATCTACCATCAAAACATGGTGATTTGCCATCAATCCACTGTTTTGATGATTAAAATTGATTAAATCATCCGTCCTGATGGTTCAGCCACGAAATGCTCACCGTGTTTGATGGTTGTTTTGATAATAGATCATTGTCACATACCCCAATTATAGGGGCATTACCCCTTTAAAAAAAATTATCAATCAGCAAGTATTGGTGAATATGTTCACTATTTTTTAATTCCATATTTGACCCATGGGGTATGTCGGTATGTCCAATTGGGATCTATGAACATCTTCCATTAGATACCCTCTGGTAAACTAACAGTTTGCTATGGAAAATCACCATTTTCAATGGGTAAATCCACTATAAATGGTCATTTTCAATAGCTATGTTAAATTATCAGAGGGTAACTTTTTGATACTTGTTGATGGTTGCATCTCTGTTCACCAGGCCACTGGACAATACAACAGCCATACGCCATATACGCCATGGTCAGTCGTTGCATGGGCTAGCGGCTAGTCATGGCCCTGGTCGTCCCACCATCAATCAATGGATATATAACCATCTGAATTATTGACTTGTCTGGATGGTTATATAACCATTGATTAATCATGGTTATAATATGTTATAATGTTAGAAAATTGTATTCTCACCATCGTTTTTGGACAGAAAATAAATTATGCCTAACCCCAAGAATTTCAAGAAGGGGCTTTTGAAGACCCTGTTGGAAAAACGGAAGCCACAGGGCTTTTGTACCCTTAGATTTCCATCATGGAACGCACTTTTTTTGCTTCGGGAGAGAAGATGATTCCATTGGTCAGCCTCATAATTATCCGATTATCCCACTGAACATGCTTGATGATCTAAATCAGTATTCCCTAAATTTGCCATTGATTATTGTCTGTATAGAAAAAAGTCCATCAAATGTGCCTGCCAGGCAAGTTACATAGTCTATACATATCTCTATCTTCCCATAGCCAAAAATCGATCAATCCATAGGGCTTGATGTACCGGTGAAGAACGGTCAGATTGATGGATCGATGGGTATCCACTAGTTGTTGAAATCTGGCAAGCTCAAATATTTTGGTGGTTTCCATAGTCATGGGGGGTCCCCAAAATGCTCGGTTTATAATAGAAAATCCATTTATAAATGGATGATTTAGGGGTACCCCCATTTCAGGAAACCTCCATTTGCCCCACCTGATTTGCTTGCGATTTTGGGATCATTCCCCTCACTCATGAACTGTCAGCGACTTCGTGTCAGCGACTTCGCTGCTATAAATGAAATTGCTCACAATTCCAAACCATCAGAATTGACCAATCCCAACACTTTTGCAACTCAGCAATTATCATCAATTATCCACTGCTATCAATGATCCAGGTGATCCAAATAAATCATATCCGTGTTTTTCCTGGGTTTTTATAGGTGCAATTTTTGTTGCTGGCGCTCTGCTTTGATCCACATCGAGCAGGGGAGCTTTTTGTGCTCCTGCTACGCGAGATTATCTACAGTCTGTTGCTGGCAAACCTGCATTTTCTAGGTAAAAGCCATCATGCGTTGGTTCAAACATATCGCGTGTAAGTGACATCTCCTTTTTATTGCATTTTTGGTTGGGAAACCGCATGTTGTGTTGGTTGAATCATCATTTTCCGCTGAAACACCCCTTCATGTTCTGCTTGGAACACATGTGTTGGCCAAATCCCACTGCTAGTAAAAATGAATCTTATCAATCCTTTGTTTTTCCTAGTAAACCATGATTGTTTCACCAAAATACAGTTTCAACCTCAAAACATCTCTACCTCTTCTGGGATTTGAGGATCAAATCTCAGTTTTTGTCACTTAAATCTCATTTGTTTCACTTGAATCCCGATTGTTATTCGTTTCTCACTTTGAAATCCAGTTTGTTCCCTCAGAATCACAGTTTTTCACTTGGAAATCCATTGGTTGACTTAAAACTCAAAACCTTTTTTCCACTTAGAATCCCTATGTTTCCACATTTTCTTGTTGATTTTCTATCTAAATCTCGTTTCTTTCATGGACCCATCCTGTAGCGCCAAGGAGCTAGCGTTGCACTGGAGGTGATACTCTGAGGACTGGTGCAGGCTTTCAGTTCGTCCATCTGTTCCCCAGAAATATCGGCAAAGTCGTGCCTGGTGGTTTCACTGGTGGTCAATAGTGATTAATAATGGTCAGTCATAAAGCAACATTTGAGATGTGGTATGGTTGGTTTATGGTGGTTAATAGTCATTAGTGATGGTTGATAGTGGTTAATGATGGTTAATAGCGACTATTAATGGTCAGTCATGGGATATTTAATGGGTTATTTGCTAAAGAGATATGGGTGTTTCTTAAGTCATGGGAAATCCCCAAGTCACCATGGATTTCAATACTAAAAATGGTCATCCATGACTTGGATGATTTGGGGGTACTTCCATTTTAGGAAACCTCCAAATTTGGAAAATTGGGAACACACTTACTGGTGCATAGTAGGGAATGGGGGAATGGAATGCTGGTTAGTATAGATGTCAATGGTCAATAGACCCAGTACTAACCATCATCCCATTCCCCCATTCCCTACTAAGCACCAGTAGGAAAATGGAACAACGTGGAAAACATAGGAAAATAGGGGGACACAGTGGAGAGCATTAAAAAATGAGAACATTGGGATGTTTTTCATGGACTAAATATGGGATAAAAATGCAATCATGTGGTTGGGAAACTCATAGCAATGTTAAAAGTAGAAGATGGGTATATCAGTAGCGAAAATTGGTTTTACCAACCAAGAAATGCTAGTTTAACCGTTTTCTCAGGGCCTATGTTAGTTGAAATACAGCTGCATCCTTCTTACTATAAAACTGTAATTTACTTTGTAAATCACCAAAGATTAAGCATGCAGATACTCACTTAGCAGTTTCATCAACCATTACACCACTACACTTGTAGCAACAATTCTTGAGATGTGTTTCAGCCCAAAATCTCCATAGAAACTCTAAAGGGAACAGCCTTTTAAAAGACTCAATTGACCATGGAAAACGGCACTGAAAATTGCTTAGTGGTGACCTTAATGGATGAAACAAAAGTCTTCTCTATGGTTTCCCCAAATGGTGTACTTCCCATCAAAAAAGTAAAATTTGAACGGCTTAAACAAAACCATGTTCTAGCAGGCTACTGATTATCATGTTTATGGGGGGCTGGGATTAAGATCCCCCAGTAGATCCACCAGTCGCGGCATGGAAGCCAAGCTGTTGCACATGGTGGGGATGGCTCATCTACCAATTGGGAACATCATCCCGAGTAGGAACGGAAAATGACTATCCGACTGAATTCAAAGAGTTTTTAAACCACAAGACAGGACAATTCCTTGATGATGTATGTACTATCTTTACCCTCTTGGTGGTGGTTTAATGATCTTGTTTTTTGTTCAGAAATACACCAGTCTAACGAGAATTGCCAAGGATGTAATATTTTTCCTGACCACAAGTGCAGGACTTGGCATTGTGCCAAGCGTTTTTCAGTCCCAGGTGCTGGTTCATACTGAAGACATCCAGAAAGAAAAAATTGTTTCGATTGGTATTTTCATCATAACCTGGGCGGGAGCTTGGAGCGATTTTCGCATTTTATGCCGCAAGATGGCCGGAAACAAATGGTCAAGTGCCATGGTCAAGTTACCATGGTTTTTTGTGGTTTATGGTCATCCATCCCATAATGGGTATATAACTTCCTATTGAATCCTATTGATGGATTGATGACCATCCCCCAATTACAGGTATATATATAATTATATATATATGTAATCCAAGTTTTGACCATTGAATGACATTGCACAGATGGTGAATATAGAATTGGCTACGACTTGGAGATGCCAAGTTTGCTGATGTTTGCTGATGTTTTCAGAGTGAGTCAAGTGGGTACCCTCTGGTAAACTAACATAACTATGGAAAATCACCATTTTTAATGGGTAAATCAGCTATAAATGGCAATTTTCAATAGCTATGTTAGTTTACCAGAGGGTAGTACCTGGGATCCAGAATCCCATCATCGGGAGAGGACTGGGGACGAGCGGCGGAAAGAGAATCCCAAACGCTGTGAATTTTGTGCATTCCTTAAGGACGACTGTTAAAAACAGTGATTCGACTGCATATGACTATAATGCTATTAGCGGCTATGCGGCTATGCTGTTATATATGTGTGTATATATATATATATATATATGGTCAGCGCCTTCTTGATTATATAATTAAATATATATATATATGTATGTATGTGTATATATATATATATGTATATATATACACATGTGTATAAGATTGTATAAGTATGTAAATATGGGTCCTGGGGGTTGAACCTTACCCGTCCCCTCGTTGTGCAATTTTTTCTGCGGTCACAATCCTGGATCAAGAAAACCCAGTGTTGTCCCGATGTGGCTTTTACGTGGCAATTTGGAAGAATCCCCTATAAATAGAGGTTTTCTTCCATAAATATAATCCATAATCCATAAATACCCATCAATAATCCAGCATACCCACATCTGGTGCCGAATCTCGCCGGGGAACTTTTTTCTCCTGCCCCGGGGAATTTTTTTCCTGATCTGTTCTGTTTTCCGTCCCCTGCATCTATCCTGCCACTTCCCTTCCATGCTGCATGCTATTTGCAGCATTTTGGAGCTGGAACCTTTCATTTTGCGGGTTATTTGCGACATTTTGGAGCTGAACCTTCCATGCTGCATGCTATTTGCAGCATTTTGGCGCTGGAACTTTTTATTTTGCATGCTATTTGCCCATTTGGGCGCAGGAACCTTCTATTTATCATGCTGTTTGCCGCATTTGCGCACAGGAACCTTTCAGTTTGCGTGCTATTTGTAGAATTTGGGAGCTGGAACCTTCTATGTTGTTGTATTTGTTGTTACGTTGTGCTGTCTGTTGTAATGTTTGTTGTTGTTTCTTTGTTATGTTTGTTGTTGCGATGTTTGTTCTTGTGAGGTTTGCTGTTGCGATGTTTTTGTTGTTGTTGTTGTTGTGGTGGTTGTGATGGTTGTGATGGTTGTGATGGTTGTTGTTGTTGTGATGCTTGCTCTTGTGATCGTTGTTGTTATTGTGTTTAGAAAGATTGTTTGCTCGCTGGCTCCCTTGCTTGCTCCCTTGCCTGCTTGCTTGCTTGCTTGCTTGCTTGGTTGGTTTGCTCGCTCGCTTGCTTGCTTGCTTGCTCGCTCGCTCGCTTGCTTGGTTTGCTGGCTGGCCGCCTTGCTTGCTTGCTTGCTGGCTGGCTGCCTGGCTGGCTGGCTCGCTCGCTCGCTTGCTTGCTTTGCTGGCTGGCCCCCTTGCTTGCTTGCTTGCTGGCTGGCTCGCTTGCTTGCTTGGTTTGCTCGCTGGCTCCCTTGCTTGCTTGCTTGCTGGCTGGCTGGCTGGCTTGCTTGCTTGCTTGCTTGCTTGCTTGCTTGCTGCCTTGCTTCCTTGCTTCCTTGCTTCCTTCCTTCCTTCCTTCCTTCCTTCCCTCCTTCCTTGCTTCCTTGCTTGCTTGGTTTGCTCGCTGGCTCCCTTGCTTGCTTGCTTGCTTGCTGGCTGGCTGGCTGGCTGGCTGGCTTGCTGACTGGCTGGCTGGCTGGCTGGCTTGCTTGCTTGCTTGCTTGCTTGCTGCCTTGCTGCCTTGCTGCCTTGCTGCCTTGCTGCCTTGCTGCCTTGCTGCCTTGCTGCCTTGCTGCCTTGCTGCCTTGCTGCCTTGCTGCCTTGCTGCCTTCCTTCCTTCCTTCCTTCCTTCCTTGCTTCCTTGCTTGCTTCCTTGCTTGCTTCCTTCCTTTCTTCCTTCCTTGCTTGCTTGCTTGCTTCCTTCCTTTCTTCCTTCCTTGCTTGCTTGCTTGCTTGCTTCCTTGCTTGCTTGCTTGCTTGCTTGCTTGCTTGCTTGCTTGCTGCCTTGCTGCCTTGCTTCCCTGGCACACCAGTCTGCGAGAACTTAGCCGGGAACAAAATTCCCCGGGGAGGAAGAAAAAAATTCCCCGTAAAAATGGGGTACCCAGCAAATCAATGGCAACTTGTTTCTAGCTGGGAAAATCATTCTTTTGAGGGATTTTCGAGCCACGTTTGATGATCGGATAATAACCTCAAAAATCCATCCGTCGGAGGTGGGAGGACAAGCGCTACTCATATCGATCCTCCCAACACTCAATGAGCAAAGGCAGCATATGGGGGTTTCCATATGGGGGTGCCCCAATAGCTGGATGGTTTATTTCATGAAAAAACAAAAACAAAAAAGAAGGGATGATTTGGCCAAACATCTAGATACTCAGAAGAAGAAGGAATTTTCAGCTGGCGATGAAGTATGAAACCATTTAGAGCGAAACAATTGGAGCTAGTTTCATCTAGAATTGGACAGGGTTTGCCCAGATCCAGGCTTATCCTGCAATTGCTATGTTGGATGAAAGGGCACCCCGTGTCCCATCAATTTTGCTGCTTAAAACTTAAAACCCCTAGTTGTTGTTTGGCCAAATGACCTTTACCCATCCTTTACCCAGTTTCTCATGCTTTCTGGCACGCTAACCTTACAGTGAAACCTGGCAGAATCCCATCGTTCCCAGCCATCTTTGATTACCAGAGGCTAATCTTTGAGCCAGGTGATAGGATAACCACTAATAACCATTATTTGTTTAATTATCATTATCATGATGATCGCCATTACTGCTATTATGATGTATAGAATTATATATATATACGTATATATACATATTCTTATGAACCACAATCAATCGTTTATAAATCGTGAATCAAACCATCAACCCAAAACGTTGAAGTTGAAGAATCTTGGAACGTTCTTGGACCGAAAAATCCCAGGAACGTTGAACAATCTCCAAGAGTTCCCAGAAGTGACTGGCCCAGCAGTGACTCACAAATGTGTCCTCACAGCGAAAAGCAGGCAGCTAGTGATGCTGGTGCTATGAATGGCAAGCACGTGGGGACCCCACAAATTCTATGTATATACAGTATATATATATAATACAATTGTACCTATATGCACATCATCGTTCATATAGTAATATAGATATGTAGAATAGAATAGACATATGTAACATTCTACGTGAATATGTATATATATATGGAAGATTCATTTGAATGCGTATGTGAGGGGACAGGATATGGTTCCCCCAAGAATTATGGCGATGTCAATGCCGCAAAAACAGCATGGCCATGGGTGTGAAATGCTCATATTATCACATATGTGTGTAGCATATTTACCTGTGTTGGAACGGTTTCATACGAATAGATTGCTTGAAAATGCTTGAAACTCTCCACGCATATCTATATTTAGCCATGAATAGTTTACACACGTTCATACTATAGCTTATAGATATATAGAAAAATAGAAACTATATTTACATAGTATATACTATTGTTACGTTATTTATATAAATATACATAGTAACCGCCAACTAAAATAGAAACATAACAAAAAACCTCTGAAAACGGAAAAAAAAAACATGGGAAACTTCCGAAAGTGATATGGTTCATTAGTATGGCTGATTAGTCATTCGTAGTGATATGGTTTATTACTGATATGGCTATATCATTCAATAACTTCTTCACATGGTATTTTTTTGTCACAAGTTATTCTGGCTGAATCATAATACTGGTACCCTGTTTTTTTAATTAAGACTTCGACATACTTCGACCCTGAAAATCACCAACCGTAGTGGTTTCACTAATCTTCCAAGCCCGATGACTGCCAGGGTCTATGTTATATAATTTACTGAAGAGTAATACCCTGTGATAAACTAACATGGCTATTGAAAATCCCCATTTATGGATGATTTGCCCATTTAAAACGGGGATTTTCCATAGCAAAATGTGAGTTTACCACAGGGTAGTACCCAGGAAATTCCTATGAAAATCCTATCGTATCCCCATGATATCCCATTCATGTAAGTAAAGCAATAGGATTTTCCAGAGGGTATACCCTTTGGTTATTTAACAGTTTGCCATGGAAAATCATCACTTTTGATAGGTATATCATCTATAAATGGGTCATTTTCCATAGCTATGTTAAATAACCAGAGGGTATAATAATTTACCAACCTTCAAATAGCTGATTCCCATCCTAAACATCATTCCAGTGAAGATGATCCGATATGATCCAGAGGGAGTTTCACAGTGTCCCAAACATCCGAGACAGGCACTGGCATCACTGGGATCTCTCGCCCATTCTGAATTTAGAATAACAGATAGTTCAAGCCGCAGCAACAGTGATGGTATGGAATATCCGTGGAATCTCCCCTCTATATAGAATGGAATACACCCACTACCCTCTGGTAGTGACTAACAGTTTGCTATTGAAAATGGCTATTTATAGTGGATTTTGCCATTAATAGCATGGTTATTTTCCATAGTTATGTTAGTTTACCAGAGGGTATCTATGGAATTCCTAGTAGAGGATTCGTTTAACGATGGAATGTCCAACTAATCCCTCCCAACTAAGGATGGAATGCTCAAAAAAACGACATGGAGATTTCAGCTGCAACACGACAGGGATTTTTTTCGCGAAGCAAACAGGCTATGTAACCAACAATAAGCAATGATCATTGATGTATTTGATATATCATATCTATTATACTGATACCAAACAGAATATCATAATATGATATAATTATAATATATATAATGTCTATGTCTTACTGTTTCCCTGATATCATGTGATATCTGCATTTGTTCTGGTGAAACCCTCATATCTATTGATCTACTGGTTGATTTTGCCATTTATAACCAGTGTTTGGATTTGCGCTGTGTAATCTGTGTGTTATCCCCAACATCAAGCGTTGAACACGATGTGGATCTCCAAATCCATCAAATCCCATACCGGATCCCCAAAGAATCGGGATCATAGCCACGAGGTTTAAAAAAAAAAGAGGGTAAAAGCCACCCCAGTGATTCCCTCAGATCGCTTGGGTTGATGCTTTTTGACTCATCTGATTTTTACGGAACTTTCGGTAAATCATGTAAATCATCCCGTCATGGAAGCAGCATTTGGAAGGTCGGTCGCAGCGACCCGTTCGCTCAAAGCAAGGCTTCGACAAGGCATACTCCCTATATAAATTATATAGGTGTATGTGTGAAAATTCTTGATATTCAAAGGCATTACTTGGACGTTTGGTCATCCAAAAAAACATCAGCTGTCCAGGATTGCCAGGATTGGCATCATACTTGGAGCGCTGGGTGGGGTTCGTTTATCTTAATTTTGATATTAATGGGGATATTTTCACATCATATCAGCCAATATGAAAATTTATATAAACAATATATCAGCTAAGATTAATCAATATTAATCACTATCAGCCAACAATGGGGACACCATTTTTCTTTGAAAAATTGATTGGATGCATCCCCATTGACTGAGGCGTCCGATGTTCAGCTTTTGAATCCTATGATTTGTATAGGGATGGTTCAGCAATTGAATTGTCACTAATCAAACTTGGAATTGGATCCTAAAATGGAGCTATACCGTATTTTTCACGCCATATTTTAATATATTTTCTGGGGATCGAAACCTTTATATAGGCCAATTAAATATTAATGGTAGGTACATGTAGGTACCTCCAATCAATCGGTGAAATGGCGAAAAAACAGGGCATTTTCTGATCAAATCGCCTCCAAAAAATGTGGTGAATCCAATACGCCCGGACGAAGAATTTCTGTTTCAGTAACCATCGGATAGCACAATAAAAAACCCCTCGAAACATGGAAGGTTTAAAAGGCACACACCGGGGAAAATGAATCATATCACTTTAATCAGAAGGTTTGATGGAAATTTTGCAGACTGCTTGCAAAAACGCAGCTCTGGAAAATCACCATGCTATGAACATAGGTAAATCATGACTTCTATAATCTATATATTATCTAATCTATGGGTCATTTTCCAGTTCGCGTTACCAGACGGTAATACGGAAAAAGTAGATGCTTAATTAATCCCATTAATCCATTACAGATAGATCCATCCAACGGCGACAGCGTGATGAGCATGCAGGCGTCTGGAAAGCGACACAGACAGCGTGGAATGTAAAAAGAGAAAGATCCATCAAAAATATCCCGTGAAAAAAAAAATATATATATATTTTTTGGAACGAAGCAATCATGAAGCTCAGTCAGGTCTCCGGTTTACCAATGTAGTGATGCATCGACAAATTCATAGTCATAGTCATAGAAGCGGACCGATCAAACGCCTCAGTGGAGCGCAGCGGAGCGCAACGGAGCGCGGGAGTGCGGCGCAGCTGACAGTCGTCACAGCTCGAATTTTTGAAGTTGAGATATGTGGAAATCTATGGAAACATATGGAAATACATGGAAATCTATGGAAATCTATGGAGATATATGGAAATGGAAATCTGTATGGTTGATTGGAATTCTAGTCTGGAATATCTGGAAATATCATCGATATCGGGATTTTTAACGACCGTGGAATTTCATCCAATCCCCCAATCCTTGATGGCCATGCTGGCCATGTGCATGGCGCATCTCTTGCATACACAAAATGCTGCGCACATCAAATACATCGAATCATTCAGTATCATTCATTAAATGCTGTAAGATGCTGTAAAAATGACCGCGAAGCACTTCGAAAAAAAAATATGGACATCGCTTGAGCAGTGTTCAAAACCTCCACTCATTTGGGCAAGGGTAAAAGATACGGTGAGGAGAGAACTCTCACTTAGGCAAAAAATAATGATGTTGTCCTTCTCAGCTATTTTGTGAACATTTGTGAACCATGTCAACCGAAGAAAGGACACATCAAGACCCCACAACTTGGCCCTAGGCCATTCTCCGACAATCCCCAATACGTTGTCCTGCTGCATCTTCCCACAGGCCGCGAGCCCGCCAAAGTATGCCAAAGTGCCCTTTGATGCTTGGCCAGAGTGGGGAAACCGGCAGCCAGACTTTCCCACACCTGAAATTTGTTGGCAAGTTCCAAGATGCCGTTTGCATGGCTCTTGGGTCACCACAAAAATCTTGTGTCCCTGAATTTTCTCCCGGATCCAAAAATGCAACCGAAAAGCGACAGTGACTTTAGAATGCCCCTCCACCAAACAACCTGGAGTGAAAATAATATGCTAGATATTACAAACACTGGAACATTGTGGTATAGATCTATACCAAACCGTTTAAGATCTTGGCATTCACTATCCCATGCCTGAATTGCAAGCCGCCCCTCTACTCAATACAGATCTGCTCTCTGTGTAATTATCACAGTACACCCCCGTTCTCGCTGGGGAAGTATATGTAAGGTGTATATACATATCAATGTATATCTGAGTTCTTTCATATATGTTGATGTTATGTGTATGGAACATATTGATTTAAAAACAAAACGCGACCATCAATGATGCGAGATCAGCAAATCAGGTCAGAAAAATTGTCCAGTCATGTGTATATATACATATATATATATATGTATACATATATATGTGTATATACATATATATATGTTAAATGTTTATATATATATATGTAAATATATGTATGTGTTATATATATATACGTATATATGTACATATATATTTATATGTATATATATATGTTAAAACTGGTGGCTGACCTACCAACACCTGTGCATTCCTATGCACCAAGCAATCGGGCTTCTTTTGATCTCGAGCGGAGATAGAGTCCCTGCGGTCATGCGACAACTGGCATAGGTGAAAGGTGCTCACACAAGCTGAATTCAACACTGGTAATAATTCTTTTATATAAATCATCTTCTGTTTTCTCCAGTGTTGTAGATGGAAATTCAAATCTGCGTCACCCCGCAGATCTCACACAGCTTGATACAAAACTGCTCTCACCAAGTCATGCAAAACTGATCTCTGGAGATCACTTCTTCAAACGACGGGTCATGGTGGTGCCGGGAATCAGTGGACCCTGATTCGCACCTTCATCAGCAAAATGATGGCTCAGAAAATCACACAGGTCTTTGAGCTGGCCGGAAGAGGAATTGGCGCGAGACTTGCACCACTTCACGTAGCTCACTGCGCGATCATCTGTCGATAAGACCAGATCAAAATAGCTCATACTTGCATTCTTGTACTGGCCGAACTCAATCAAAGTCTCTCCCCATGTGGCTACGTCCGTGACACCTGGTGGAAAAGGTGGCAGGAAGGCTCACGGCGTTCACAAAGGGCACAGTGCCCATGGTGCCTGAGTAGGCTGTGCACGGAGCTGCTGAGCTTGCAGCCATGGCCTTGGGCTTCATCAATCGCTTGGCATCTTGAGACATCAAAGCATCTTCGCGACGCTTAGCTCCATCTGTCATAGCTCCAGAGCTAGGCGCAAACTCTGATGCGGACCAGATATCCACGGATTCTCCGGTGGCTGGATTGACGAAAAGGCCCGTGTTGGGGTCATACTCTGAGAGCTCATCATCGATATCATCCAGTGGCTTGCTGATGGACATCGCCTTTGACTTTGCCTTTGCCAACAAACGCTGGAGCTCCATAGACTCTGCCGGAGTCAGGGACATTGCGAAGGAAATGAGCAAAAAGGGTGGTGAGAAGCTAGGTCAAGCTTCGATACACCTCCTACAATGGATAAACACGAGAAAAAGGGGCTCCCAAGCACCAAACATGCACAACTGCTCACATCCTCAGCGGAAACAAACTTATTTATGTCACTGGCTTAAGTGACCTGATTAATTATCATGAAAAGAGATTTGGACATGTTCCACTGATCGAAGGGCTCTCGGCAGGATGCTGTGCACTCTAAAGACTGACCCTCAAGACATCTGCAGATTATTCCTAGCAATCATTATGGAAAAAGTCAGAGTGATACATCTTACCCCTTTGAGAAGTCAGTTTCCCCCAGACGTCTCAACTGCTTTATGGGCACTCTTCTCACGGTTTTGCGCTCGAAAGGCACGTTCAGCTGCTTGCTGCGCCAGGACATGGTCTTCGGGAGAAATCTGATACGATGCAGCACGAACGCATGAGCGAAGCAGATCGCTAGGCTCCATCTTATCCTTGGTAAGACCATCAGCTATCATACGGTTTGTTGGAAGCCAACGAATTTGTGCAGACAACAGCTTGATGGACTCTCTGATGATCACAATATCGATACTGGTCCTACGGTCATCCACTGCAGTGGGCGATGAAGGAGATATTAAATGATCATACAAAGACTTACAGTCGGTGGCTAAGATGGCTGGTCTCTTGGCCAACAAGGATCGGCACATGCTGGGGATGACGCTTCCGTCAAGAGCTTCACTTAAAAGTAGATTTAACCATTCAACCGATCCAGATGCAGTTGCAAGTGCTTGAGCCTCACCGCTTAGTGTGGAGCTGACAGCCCTAGGCAACTTGTAGCTCTTCCAAATGGCTGGTGTCCATGGCGAAATCTCTCCGTTGTGCATACGCTTATCCACAAAAGCCAATATGTAACCTGCTTGAGTATGGGAACCTCTATTGGCAAAGGCAGCATCTGAATGGCAACACACACAAAGATTTTCAGGGGAAATGGATTCAAACCGAATGGAAAGCTCCTTATGCATCTTGGCTCGACGAATTGCGTTGTTTGCATCGCGCAAATGCCTAATCCTAGGTGCAGGAAAAGCTTGCTGGCTGAGGCTGGTCTGTACTGCCAAGTCTGGTCGCGACTGACTGGCTAGCCAATTGAGAGAGCCGTTGATGGCCCGCAAAACACGGATTTGAGATTCTGTCAACAGGTCGTCAGGCGAGGCACTCTTGGGAATTGTGGCTGGCTTAAGTCTTTCAGCAAACAGCTTCTGAGACATCTCAATCACTTTGGTTTTCTTATGTTGAACATAATAAGCCCCACAAAATTCTCCCTCATTGACTCGCCACTTCCTATATGGGAATCTCGCACGTAGAGCTGCCACAGCTTGTTGGAAACGCTCTCCTTGGCCTCCAAGTGCAGTATCATCGACATGTACCCCCATAACACCAACCAACTTGTTTTGCTCTCTGAGAAAGTAAAGACAAGGGTCAAACTTGGATCGCTCCTAACCAACGGTCACAGCTTCGGAATCAAAAGTACGATGCCACGCCAAAGGAGCATCGTTTTGTCCATAGACGTTTCCCACGACTTCCAAAATGGCGTCAGGTGGCACGCCCGGAATGCCTCCTGGAGGCTGTCTTGCAAACAGAGGTCTAAACTTTGCTGGCAGCTCGCCAGCTTCCAGAAATGCACCTTTGATATCCCCTAACTGCAAATCCCATTTGTGGGTGGCTATGAGTTGCATCAACAGCATGCGACCTGTTTGACTCAAAGTTGGCGACTGCAGCAAACCATCTTGGACCTTCTTGTCGAGATCCGGGTCCAGGTGACCCTGAAGACACCATCGGCTCTTGACTCGATACGTACTGGAATCATCTTCTACAATAGGCTGATTTTCTTCCATAGGCTTTCGAGTGATTACAAACCTACTGCCGATGAAACGGTCTGGATAGCGTGTCAAGAGTTGGGCGGCACGTTTGCCATAGTGGACTTTGACAGCATGTTTGTCGACAATGGTGTTCCATTCAGCTCTTTTGGATTCATCGATCAAACTTTGCAAATCAGGATGGTTATGACTGTGGTGCAGTTCTTTACTGGTTTTCTTTTGGAGATAGTTTGCTAACAAACACTCGGTGGTGATTTTGGGATCTTCCAGCTGCCTGCACAACTCAGTCACGTCTTCAACAGACAGCACCTCGCACACAGCATCGATGCGGGGCTTGTTGCTGGGTGGTTCAACAGCATCGGAATCTTCAAGGACACGCTTGTGCTGGTCTCCTACTCTAGGTGAGGAACTCTGAGCAGGTGAGGCTGATGCAGTCGCTGGATTCGTGGCATGTTCAATCAACTTAGGAACAACTTCCTTCATCATGTCCAAGAAGTCCTGTTCTCTCATACTTGGCGGCCTGTACAACGCAGCAGGTCCATTTTTTGATGGAACACGTCGCAAAGGGCCATAGCTTGATGCTGAATCTGAAGAACCAGTCATGTTGGGTTCCTCAACAGTGACATCATCAGGTGGTGGATTCACTGGGAACTGGTCTGGTTCATCATGCTCATCGGAGCCTAGAGACCTAGCTTTGGGATTCACAGTGGACCCTGAAACTGGTTCCATGGACACATCAGCATCACCATTGGCCGGTATGGAAGGTTCTGACACAACCTCTGGGCTTTCCGTGGGCTGACTCTGATCTGCGGGACCGGATGCCATTGGTGGATACAACCCTGGGACTAGGTCTATGTATTGGCTACTCTTAAAAGTACCCCCTTCCAACATATCTTTTACCCGCAACAACTCCGTTTGTGGTGTGGTAACCATAGTCTTTTCTTCTGTGGTTGCTGGTCTCATTTGCTCGGGCGCTACACGGAAGATCTGTCGGCGATGGGCTACTATATAGTTTTTGCCAATGCTACCAATGACCACTGCTGTACCATACCATTGACCTCCTAGCTGAACCTTACCTTGCTGATACTTTTGGGCTCTCCAGTATGCAATCAGGTCACCAGGCACAAATTGCTGTTGCAGGCGTGGTCTGGCTGAAAAGGCACGCCTAAGCGCTTGGTCATCTTGGGTCTGCAAAACAGCTTGACGAGCTGCAGCACGTATGGCCTGTGATCGGGCTACAGCTTCATCGGACAAACCAAGTGTTGCTGGTATGACATGAAGTGGTTCATTCATGAGATCGGAAGGGATGTCAGGATTTTTCCCAAACACATGCTGATGTGGTGTATATCCATAGGATTGGATCATGGTGTTCTTCACATGGCTATGAGTTACACAATCTTCCCATTGTTCCTTGTTGTGTGGTATGAACTCTGACATTGTACGATCCAAAACCCTGGAAAACCAACCACCATGAGATTCTGTACGCCCCAACTGCCAATGTGCTTCGCCAGCAATTTGATGTACATGAGTCCCTAACGACTCCAGGTAGCTCTGAAAAGGTTCGCCCAAATTGGTCTGTGCCTGATCTACAATGACCTCCTTTGGAGAACCAAAAATTCGGACCCAGTGATTGGCAAACTCTTTGCGCAAAACATCGGAGGTCTCCCGCTCATAGAAGGGAATCATGAGTTGGTAACAGCTGGCTTGATCAACGATGTTGAGGGCCTTAACCTTCATGTTGGGGGACCAACCATTCAAGTTTTTTACATCAATACCAACCACTTGATTGAATTCCTGTGGTCTGGAACTCTTGGCAGGCAGTGGCACGTGTGGCTTGATCTGAGCTTGGCAAAAATTGCACTTGTGCTTCTGAGCCAGTTGGATCGCGCGATCTGAGGCCTTGGCATGCTTGAAAATCCTAACAAGATCATGCGTGGGAGGATGACCTAAGTTCCTATGGACTTTGTCAATCACCTTCATCAAATCCTCATCACTCTTGTCGGCGGACAGATCGGGCTTGGCTGCAAGAACTTCGTCCTGCTGCTTGCTGGACCACGGAGAACACACGGCAAGACACTGCTGCTTCAGTTCCATGTATCGAGGCACTGTGTCCATCACGGATTCCACAAAATTGGGTGTGTATTTCCCGGCAAAAGTACTGATTCGGCCCACAGCTGGATCTGACCCTGCAATGGTCTGATGGCACTCATGTTTCGGCTGTTTGGAGCCTGGACACTCCTTGGCTAAAACCCTCATGTTCTCATGGGTGACAAGTAAGTGAGTGGCCTTACGAATCAACTTATCACTACCGGGGATGCGTAACCCAAAACGACACATGTGACATGACAACAAATGATGTTCATTCACGAGTGCACGGACCTCAGGGTAGGTCCACAGCTTGGAACCCTTCGGATGCTCAAAAATGGCCCGACCTCCAGCTTGCACCTGTTGTTCAAACAATTTGCAACAGAACCTGATGAACAAACGGCTGCGCCGAACTCTCCGAAGATACTCATTGGGATCCATAGTGCAGGCATTAAGGTTGAACCATCCACCTTCGTCAGTGCATGGTGGGCTGAGCACAAGCAGGTCTGGTGGTGCACGCTTGAGCTCATCAGTCACTTGTTCTCTCACCTCTGCTTTGGTAAAATCAAAGCCTGTGGTCAGATCATATGAACGGCAAGAACCGCCCACTCCTTCAACCAACGGTGCAAAACGCGGTGGGCTGAAAACTTCGGCAACTAAGAAAGGTTTATCATCAACACTTGATCTGACCTCAGTTGGTGAACTCCGGATTTGGGCATCTAACTGACGCTGGCAATGGGCCGGCAGACTCTCAATTGTCGCTACTGTCTCCTGCGGGATGAAATGAAACTCAGTGACCACATGAAAAACTTCTTGGGGTATTGGATGACGATATCTTGATTTCTTGTGGTGAGGTTGAATCCATTCATCAAACAGAACTTCATTGTTGTCAGCATTCATGACCCTACGTCGTCTTATAGATTGCCAGTTGGGACCTTGACTACCAGTGGTGAGTGTGTGACTAAGGTATGAATCAGCCCTGGACCAAACTTGTAAATCAGCTGAAACTCCTGGGTAGGCGGAGTGCACATCCATGGCTGCGGATGACTGTGTGGGACTGGCAGGACATGTCTCTTGCTTGGGCACGGAAACCTTCTCATGCAGCATGACTTCAGAGAAATCTTCAGTCGCATCAGGAGCAGGGTTGGAAATGCTACCCAAAACATCAATGACATACTGCCCGGCCTCATTCGATAACAGAGGAACAGTCAAACGTTCTGGAAAAAGTGACATCTCGTTCTTCCCAAAATCAATCACAGCCTGTAAAGTCTGCAGAGCCCGGCGCGAAATCAGTAATGGAGCAGCCCCCTTGACAATGGCTGCCTTGATACTTCCAGTCTTTCCAGAGATCACTACTGGCAGTTTGACTGCCAATTCCGTGGTTTCACGCTGGCCGTTTCCAAACTTAAAATGATTGACCTCAGCAAAGGGCTCAGGTACTGGAATGCCACGAGACTTCCAGAGCTTCGTGAAATCTGACAACGTCTCTTGTCCCACAATTGTGCGACCACATCCAGAATCGATCACACCATATCCTGGTGAACTGACCAGGAACACCTCAGTTGATGTCGCAGGCACTGATTGCTCAACCTTTGTAGCACGTCGACTCCTCAGCCATTGCAACATGCTGAGGCCAGAGAACTTTTCGTCAGCCACCGTAGCAACAAATGTCTCCGAAAACTGCTCAACCAGTGCTACTCCTGAGTCGGAACCCTTTGAACTGGACCCAGATTTGGAACCTTTGCCCTTTCCTTTTGCAGCCTGCTTGCATTCCCTGGACCAATGTCCAACTTGTTGGCACTTATGGCAGCGCGTTTTGCGCTTGAGCTCCTCGATCTCCACGCGATAGCTCTTTCGGAGATCAGAAGCAGCACCAAAACGTCGATTCTTTTGCAAACGCCCTAGCTCACGGCGCTTGTCTTTCCAAGAAACGGCTAGTGCTTCTGCCACCTCCGTCTCCTCAAAAACTTCAGAAGGCTCTTCGGCAGGAACCTCTCCATGTTCGGCCAAAAAGGCCTCCACCTCATGAGACAGTGTGTCGTCGTCCTCTTCGATGGTGTCCAGATCTTCCTCAGCTTCCACAAGGCTAAGTCCAAAACTCTTCCGCTTTGGTACAGTAAAATCTGGATAGCACGACCTCATGGCCCTGCCTATGGCATCACGTTTCAGACTTCCTCCACTGCGGGCCAAAACTACCGCACGTTGTTCGTCACTCAAACCTGAGCGATTCAGAATGAGCCACCCACGAGCCTCATCTGGAAAATCGACCTGGCACTTTCTCTTGCATCGGTCAAACATCTCGCCAGCTCTAGAAATCCAGACTTTCAATGATTCACCTTCAGTTGCACGTAAACCAAACACAGTGGTGAGTGTTTCACTCATTTCATCGGAGGAGTCCTTTTGTGGAAACCTGGCATCGAGAAGATCAAACAGGGTCTTCTCGCCGTCAACCTTCTGATACTCGCTAGGATCCAAGTGTTCTATGCAGTCGAGGGCCTTACCGGCCAGCAGGGTGTATACGTAAGCTCCACGAGCCTCTTTGGGAACTTTTGAATCCAGTGTCATCAACTTGTTGGATACCCATGTCTTCCATCTCTTATACTCCAGTGGATCCTCATTCTCGCCAGAGAAAATTTTGCCTGACCCTGGGTCAGACGGCAGAGATGCACCAGCCATGGCGCTCACACAAGTCACCTAGGAATCCTATCCTAGGGGAGCCTCCCGTAGGAGGCTCCGCTACCAGTGTTAAAACTGGTGGCTGACCTACCAACACCTGTGCATTCCTATGCACCAAGCAATCGGGCTTCTTTTGATCTCGAGCGGAGATAGAGTCCCTGCGGTCATGCGACAACTGGCATAGGTGAAAGGTGCTCACACAAGCTGAATTCAACATATATATATCAAATGCATATGTATATACATATAATTATTGCATATGTATGTTGAAAATCATGTCTACATATAATGCTAAATATATATCATACTCATGAGTATTCCCATGTACTAGAAGCTCGCTATGCAACAAACGCGACACATCACCAAGTTGGTACCCAAACTGATTGCGGTTTGTTTCTTCGGGTCAGTTGTGGATTCCTGAATTTTGGACTGCGAAAATCCCACAGCTGCGCTTTAAAAAAACCCTGCGTACGTACCCATCAACCAACCATAATCCCCATATTGGCAGCTGAAATTCCACTATTGTTGGTCCCCATCCATGCCTATCCCCATTTCAGTTCAGAGGTAACACGTCTCCACTTCTCAACCAGTCCGGCGGCTATCCGCCCTCTCTTTTCCAAGTTGCAGAGCATCGAGCCTCTAAAGTCATAGGCTTAAGAAGCTTCCTTAGATCAACCATGCACACACGTCAGTTTGTGTTTTTGCCATGGGGAATAATGTTGATTTTCATGCTACCCAGTTTATGATGTTTGAAGATCATATGGATAGATATACATGCACATATTTATGATCTTACTTGTATATCTATATCATCTGTACTAGATGTGTTACATGTGTATGTCTACTGTATATTGTTATATGTATATATGAATACGTGTATGTATCTGAGTATGTATGTTCTATCCACACAAATACAGACTGGTTCTGTCCCAGCCCCTTTTAGCGCAGCCCAGCGACATGCAAAGGTCGGTCGTCTTCATCGTAAGTTTATCCTGGTCAGCCGGGAGGATTCCAAAAAGGTCCACGTTACCAGCTTACCATGTTTAAGCTTAAAGCCGAGCACCTGAAGGTTTAGCTTCCACAAAAACATGATTGATATTCAACACAGATAAATCAGATGTCCCTGGTGTCCCCAACAATGGGTGATAATTGAATATCAACATCCATTGTTGGTCCATCAATTCTTGATCATTGTTTCCCAAAACTCATGGTCCGTTGTTCCTCCAACTATCCACGATGGTCCTGTCCATTCTCGATTTCTTCATCAGAGAGATGTAGGGTAAAGTTCCCCACCAATCATGGGGCACTAGTGGTTGTTCTTGGAAAGTCTATGGGGTATATGATATATTCAAAAGTATTCAAACTATTCCAACATATTTAAACATATTTGGGATTCTTCAGACATATCTCCCACATGCTTCGCATGTCGAAAATCAACCCCAACCCTCGTCAGCTTCATGACTTGCTGGTAGGTATGCAGCCATAGTTACATGACTTTCCCGCGCTCGCCCCTCACGAAAAACCGCCATGGAAATTTCGGGGATTTTCCCCAGGTTTGATTTGGAAAATGTTGAAAAATGTTGGTTAATGGTGGTTAATGGTGGTTAATGGTGATTAATGGTGATTAATGGTGGTTAATGATTACCAAAGGATATTTGTGATTGGGAAAAGGTGGAAAATTGTCAATTTTTGTGCTGAAGCTTTCTATGCTGAGTTGAAAAAGGCTTATCTACATAGGTATGTGTATGTCATGTCGTTTGAATCATGTTAAATCCCCATGTGCAGATCATTTCGCCAACGAAACCATCCAAATCATCCCATTCATCATCCGAATCAACCCTGAAAGCATCCATCCCGTTCGAAAGTAATCTCCCAACATCTTCCAACCCCCATGGCCCAAAAACAGCAGGATCGTCCATGTTATTTTTGGCCTTTGGTTTTTTTGGGCGCACCCAACATGGTCAGACGGTCAGACGGTCAGACGGTCAGACGGTCAGACGGCAAGTCACCGACTCATCGGGCACCAGGTCTAAAAAACTTCGTGCCACCGCCTCAGTCTCAGCAATGTTGGAGATCAACTGGGAATGGATTGGTTTCAGGGAAAATTGACAGGAAAACCCCATATTTAATGGGAAAATCTATGGTTTCCTGTAGATTTTCCCTTAAACCAATCCATTGAAACTGGGAATGCCCCAGTTCAACAGGGCCGGAAAATAGGGATACTATGGGATACTGTTGTGCTGTAAGATCCATTTTTTTTGCATTACATGCAGCATGGTTTCAAGATTCAAAATTTCTAAGATAAGCCCACAAGGCGCCGACACAAGGGTACTGGTTGCTTTCTAGATAATGATTTCTCTAACAGACCTATGACATCCGTGTTAGTCAGGTGCAAAAAAAATATAGTACTTCATAACCAGCCATCATGTCAATTCTATCCCCACTTCTGGTGGTTGAGACATGTTGAATTATTTGGTGGTTGCCCTCTGGTAAACCAACATAGCTACTAAAAATTCCAATTTTCAATGGGTAAATCAGGTACAGCTGACCATTTTCGATATCTATGTTAAACTACCAGAGGGTAAATCTCCATGTAGCCTCTGGTAAACATACAAAAAACTATTGAAAATGGCCATGTGTCGTTGATTTACCCGATAAACAATGTGATTTTCCATACTTATGTTAGTTTACCCGATGGTATAATCCAATTATTATATTGGATAATCCATTATAAACAGCTTTATTCAAATGATCCATTTGGTTTCTAACTCACTTAACACCCTTCGCTCCGTCGGCTTCGGTCGCGTTGCATGAGCACAGCCACGATCCCAAACTGGAGGGGCAGACCTCACAAGGATTCCCCGAATCAATGGAGCGGAAAATCTTCACCGGAAACCATCCATTTTCCCATGAAGATCATGGTGGGTTCCTGTATTTGTTTCCCTTAAACCAATCCATTGACCACATTATATTGGGTTAGTATCATCCTCAAACTAATCATCAACCAACTGGGGTTTAGCAGCCACTGCTCATATGTCGTTTCTCTACATATTTCAACATGTATCGCAATATTTCAGTATGCTAGTAAAGCAATAGTAAACCATCACCAATTCTACTATAGATCGTGATATAAACCATCAAAGTATTGGTGGTTCATTGTCGCTTTACCAACATGACTACTATATGGGTGTTTCCTAAAATTGGTGTACCCCTAAATTTGAATGGGGGTTTCCATTATAAACAATCCAGCTATTGTGGTACCCCCAGCAGTCAAGCCCCCGTCTGTATAGCATGGTGAGTATCAACAACAATCCAAATGCATATATATATATATGTATTTGAATATGTAGATTATATAATATTATATATATAAACATACTATTTATATATATATATATATACATACTACATATGTATATATATATATATATACATACTATATATAATATATATATATATGTATGTATATTATATATACACACATACTATATATAATATGCATGTATATTATATATATATTATATATATTGTATAGGGGAACACAAGATAATTCATAAACCTGAGTTAAGGCCATTTGGGGATCATCAAACCCATCAGCTTTGCCCGGAGAGATCGGATAGCCACTTTTCTTCTCCCCTCAACGAACATGACCGTTTGGAACCCAATCATTTTCCATAATTCATGGCAAGTATTCTGTTTATATGATTTTATATGTATGTGTGTATAAAGGATGGTTTGCCATGAATTAAGGCATGATTTTAAAATTATATAAAAATTATATACAACAATTGCCATTTATATATTCATATATATGGCAAGTATCCTATATGTATATATTATAGGATTAAAGCATGTAAAAATCGCTGTTTTCCCTGCGGTAGGGAATTTCCAAAAACTCCGATGTTAAAATCAACCATTCCCTAGCGACGGTGCTGTGCTCAGCGCATTCTTGACTGGTGGTCGAGCCATCCAAATAAATATGAAAGTGAGGCTCATCATTGTCATCATTCACATTCCATATAGATTATCATTCCAAATATGGTGGTATCAGACTATTGTCATTCCAGATAGAAGTGAACATCTGAGACTGTCTGAGACCATCAGCCAGCAGTGGAAGCCTCATGCCCAAAATACACATGATCAAAGATGCAATGAACTAGCTACTGTGTCAAATTGAATTGCCATCGAGACTGAGCTGGACAGAAAGCTGTTAGAAGGTGATCACCATGGCGAAAAATGGCAGGATATTCAGTCAGTAAGTAAACTGAGAAAAAATGCAGAAGACTAGCCAGTTTCGAAAATCATCTACAAATGCATACAGATGCAGCTTTTTTTCACTATGTTACTATGTTCATTGACTGGAATTGAATATGTTGTGCAAGTATCCCCGATTTCAAAGAAAAATCGCCAATGGTCAGATGTTTCACCGGACGAAAGCATCACGAATTCCGCCCAACACATGCCGCGTGGCTGTATTCTGGTCATGTTATTCCAAGCCAGCTGTTGAGTGCCCGCCTGCATGGATATCATGCAGTGCCAGGGTAATGATGAGGATGTATAAACCAAAAAATTGCATCGGTGTAATATAGATTAATATGGTATGACAACCAACATCCCAGATACGGTGGAGAAATTTACCAGCCAAATGTATCAGTTTCCTAGCTTGGAGCAACCCTAAATGAGGACAATTGAGGACAATGACCAACAGTTGGCTACTCTCTGGCAATCAAACGTGGCAGATGGGAAAATTGTTGGGGAATTCTCCAGCAAGCCATATTGGAGTGAAGAAACTGATCTCGTCTGATCCTTGGTTGAAGCAACGAACCACAACGTATTGTCGTCACCTTTGAACTTTCCCTCCCTAAAGCAGAGGAAGATTCTACGTAGTCAGATGTGACTCAGATTTTGCAGGAAAACCATCACTGAAATTATAGAATTTCACGGTAAGATGGCACACCGAAACCAGGTGCACTAAGATGGCAACAGGCACTTTTTTTGAAAAAAACGCAGGGGTCAAAGAGGTCGACCCGCGTGGCCAAAGATGGCACACTGCTATAAACACCATTGAGGCAGTTGTGTGCTCTTAGCCGCCTATACTAGACCAAGCGCATAAAAGCAAAAATGCATATAAATATGAATATATATATATTTATTTAGGTACGGTTCAAACTTTCCTTTTCCTTTCCTTTTCCTCTTCCTTTCCTCTTCCTTCCTTACCTCTTCCATTCCTGTTCCTTTCATCTTTCTTTCGTTTTCCTTTCATTTTCCTTTCCTTGTGTATGCCATCTTACCGTGAAATTCTATAGATTTTTTATTAACACATGGAGGTTTCCTCAGTCATGGGGGGCCCCTAGATCATCCACTTTAGATTTGGATTTTTGCAAACCATCAGCTATTGGGGATCCCCCATTGATGGAAACCACCAGAGATGAATGCCTTGGGGGTACATCCCAGTTGATAAGCGACTATCTGGTTGGTGGTTTCAACCCCTCTGAAAAATATTAGTCAGTTGGGATGATGACATTCCCAATATATGGAAAAATAAAAGTCATGTTCCAAATCACCAACCAGCTATTAACTATTTGTCCAATTTACCTGCATCCGCTGATTTGTCTGAAGATTCTGGACCCCATTCCGTCCATGGGTTTATCATTTCCCCCATTCACACATCTATATTATTCTATATATTTCAGGTGTCCTAAAATTAGGCTACCCCCAAATCGTCCATTTTCACAGGATTGCCCATTATAAACCATCCAGCTATTGGGGTGACACCTGGGCATCTTAACGTACGGAAAACATCGGTTTTCTCTATCTTCTTGGGGGTTACAAAAATATCATCTATTTTGAGTTGTAGAAGATTTAAAAAGAAAACACAATATTGTTGACGTTTATAGAACCAATGTTCAAATTGGGTCTGGCTCAATCTTGGCCTATGACACTAGTACTTGGGCCATGTAAACCAGTGAGCTTACCCGAATGCCCCATCTAAGTAGGTCTTTCGATGGTTGGATGTTCCAGACAAAAATAGTTGAAAAGTGGGTTCCTGATGGTTCCTGCCTGTTCTAACCCCTTACATCTCTGCTATTCTCTGCGAAATACTTCCAGTTCCCCTCTGGTAATCAAACGTGACAATGGAAAATCCTCTAGAAATGTAGCTTTAAGTGGGAAAATCAGATATGGAGGTTTCCTGAACTGGGGTTACCGGGTACCCCTAAATCATCATTTTAATGGGAATTTCCATTATAAACCAACCAGCTATTGGGGATCCTACTCACGATTTTCCATCCATTTCCTTCGGATCCTTCCAGTCCCCACCTGGACCAATTCTTCGAGGACGGCGGGCGACAGCGGAATGGGGCGATTCGCTTTGCTCCGGATCGACTTCAGGGTCAAAATCAACTCGCCAAAGAGCCTGGGGACGAAGAAATCCATGGGAAAAGCCATGGGAAAACCATGGAAAAAACCACCCGAAAATGGAGCTTTCACTGGGAAGAAACGCCACAGCTGACAAGCGATATCAAGCGATTCACCGAGCATTGCCAACTGCATGTCTGGAAATGGAATATATTGGCATATGATGGAATATGAATATGCCCATGAAATGGCCATTGAGTAGGGAAAATAATGATAATCATGGGATGTGTACCCCATTTTCAGACTGACCCGTATGCACTCCTTCTGAGATGCATACAATTTGTACTCGCCCAAAGCCATCGCTTAGGCATTTAGGGGTCTGGATTGGAACCCAAATGGTTTGCTGTGTTCATGTTGGTCATGTTGGTCATGTTGGCTATCTTTGACTCAGAAGTTCAACGTCAACATCTTCATGTTTAGGTGACTCATCTCCAATTTTGCTTGGCTTAATTTCCCTACTTCCGTTTGATTGACTGAAAAAATGTTTGTTGATAATCATTTTAGGAAACCCAAGAGTGCAGTACAACCTCCTGGTACATGGCATGTCATAATCGTGGATATTCACAACAGATTTGTCACCTGCCCAACAACTTGCTTTGCCGATACTAGAACAATCATCTTTGTGGGTATTGTGGGGTCAAAACCCTGGACACCTGTAGTTCCCATCCCACTCGCATCTCGGCACAGGTGTTTTGGAGGGTGAATATGATCCGTGGATAGGAAGAATACCCCCTAGTTTCAAGAATTGAGGCAGGGTGCGTTATTTTTGGGGTAATTCTATTTTCTGGGGTGATTCTTTTTGGTCGTCGAGGCTGCCGTCCTTGGTTTTTGCAGCTAAAATCTCTCATTTGCTGCATTTTGTGGCGAAAATCTCTTACTCGGACTGTTCATCGATTTTTCCACTGGTTTCATGAATTTGTCCATGGTTTTCATTTATTGTTCAATGGTTTTCATAGTTGTTTATCGAGCTTTCCGCTGCTATCATTGATATTTTAGTTGTGTTCATTGATTTGTCCATGGTTTTCATAGTTGTTTATGGAGTTTTCCATGGTTATCATTGATTTTTACATGGTGTTCATTGATTTTTCCATGGTTTTCTTCAATTGTTCCGTGGTTTTCTTCAATTGTTCAATGATTTTCTTCGATTGTTCCATGGTGTTCCTCAATTGTTCAATGGTTTTCTTCAATTTTTAAACGGTTTTCTTCGGTTGTCCCATGATATTCATTGTTTTTTACATGGTTTTCATTGATTTTTCCGAAGTTTTCATCGATTTTTGGAAACACACGATGTGCATAAATGTAACTATAAATACAGAGGTGTATAAAAATATACATGCATGACTAAGTATGACTATATGCATATGCATATATATATATATATATTTATTATTATTATTATACGTAGAGCGGTGTATTTACAAGTGTATTTAATATATCTTTAGGGTTTGGTTTAGGGTTGGTTTATGGTTTATTCAAGATTTGTTTAGGTCTATTTAGGGTTGGTTTAAGGTTTCTTTAGGGTTGGTTTAGGGTCTGTTTAGGGTTTGTTTAGGGTTGGATTAGGGGTTATTTGGGGATACAACATGTACATACAAAAAACTGATTAATATCTGTATGCATATGCATCTACATGATTATCTATATATAATTTATTAGGGGATGAAAAGTGTGTATGCAAACAACCATAAATATGTGTATGTATGTGTATATATATATATATACACATATATTATCTAATTAAACTAGCGTATTGAAAAGTGTGCAAGCTTGGATTTAACCAAAAAAAGCGCAGCGCCTCCCCAAAGCAGATTGAAAACACCTATTTTCACATGTAAGGTGCTGGGTTGAATGTGATACTCAAGGATACTCAAGGTGTATACACTACACGGCATGCACCCTGGAAACATGTGGAATGGAGGTTAAGGCACAACGATGCACATAGTTTCATTGGATGTTATCATACTGTTGGTTTAAGATCTATTTATATAAGGTTGGTGTATTTTATATTTTGGTTTGGTTCAGGGTTGGCTTGGGTTTTGAATATCATCTTGATAATAATGCAGACCTTTTTGATAGATAGATAGATCGATAGATGGATAGAGATATGGATAGATGGATAGATGGATAGATGGATGGATGGATAGATAGATAAATAGATAAATGGATGGATGGATCGATAGATAGATATGTGGATATTTGTTCAAGCTGTTTACCTGTGGAACTTATGCATTGTTGCTTGCGATTCCTTTAACATATTATATGCGGCAACTCTGACATGGCTAAACAAAATCAAGTAGACATAGCTGGAGAACAGATTCGACAAGTGTCCTGAAGTATGTGTTTTTTTTTAATAACATAAAAAAGAGCTAGTTAGGACACTTGCTGGAAAAAGGTGTCAACGTGTCTCACAAAAGCGTGCATATAGACTCACATAGGAGCCGTAGGAGCCATAGGAGTCATAGGAGCCATAGGAGCCAGGAACCGTAGAAGCCAAAAGCCAAGAAGCCAAGAAGCCAAAAGCCAAAAGCCAAAGGCAGTACCAAAAAAAAAACATCACAAAAAAAAGCAAAAAAATACCCCTCCATTGAGGCAGGTGTTTCACCATCATTACATCATTATACACCGTACTCTATATGATTCTTGTGTATGGATTGCATCAACCATCGTTCAGCATCCATATATCCTTATCTCATAAATTAACCATGTGTAACTGATGCTATTCTGTGTTACCATTATCATTGCTTTTGAAGCTGTTTTGTAGTCCCACCCCCCTAGTGTGATATTAAATACCCCCCATATGGCCTCAAAAGTTCATATGCCGGTACATTCCACGAGCGCTTTGGAGTGGGGGTATTTCACATTGGGAGGAAGGGAATATTGACATTATTGATCACTACTACTTAGGATATTTTAGGTCTAACATGCATTTACCATCAACAAGCATAGCTTCTTTCGTGGGGATTCAACCATTCTGAAATTGCAACGGAATCCCGAACGGCGGCGAAGCAACAAGACCGAACTGGCCAATCCCAGGAGAGTGAGCACTACAAAGACATAGAGAAATCCCGCCTGGCGACTGCGATAGTGACCGGTTGCCAGTTCGGTGAAGATCTCTGCAGGCATAGAAGATCTGTAAATGCATATGCATACATCGATATGGACCTTGACATCACATATCTAGACAATTCCGGATACATATGATATACATATGATATACATATGATATACATATGATATACATTTGATATACATATGATATACATATGATATACATATGATATACATATGATATACATATGATATACATATGATATACATATGATATACATATGATATACATATGATATACATATGATATACATATGATATACATATGATATACATATATCACATATGTCAATGTGTATGTGCGCATATTGCACAGGTATATAGATATATACATATGTCACCCCTCTTTAGCCAACTGGCGGAGTTCCGCACTGCAGCTCAACTTTGAAGGAAGGAGTCGTCTCAAACCCTGGCACCCTCAACATCCTAAACATTCGAAAAAAATACCCTCTGGTAAACGTTTACATAACTATGGAAAATCACCATGCTATTTATGGGTAAATCCACTATTTCGACTGGGCCATTTTCAATAGCTTTTTGATGTTTTTTGTACAGAGATGGCAACAACAGTTGTCCAATTTTAGCTGACGACTCCTGACGACTCTGACGACCTCGATCGCTGACGACTCCTGACGACTCCTGACGACCCCTGACGACCCCTGACGACCCCTGACGACCCCTGACGTCCCCTGACGACCCCTGACGACCCTTGACGACCCCTGACGACCCCTGACGACCCCTGACGACCCCTGACGACCCCTGACGACCCCTGACGACCCCTGACGACCCCTGACGACCCTTGACGACCCCTGACGACCCCTGACGACCCCTGACGACCCCTGACGACCCCTGACGACCCCTGACGACCCCTGACGACCCCTGACGACCCTTGACGACCCTTGACGACCCCTGACCCCTGACGACCCCTGACGACCCCTGACGACCCCTGACGACCCCTGACGACCCCTGACGACCCCTGACGACCCCTGACCGACTGCCACAGGAGATCTTTGTCCGTTTTGACGCCCCTGTCTCTGACCTTTGTTCGTGTGTTGAACGTATTGGTTTGTAGGGTGGATGGGCGGGAAATTTCAACAATTTACCCCACATATTCTGTTGAGCGTATTGCTTTGTGAGGTCGAAGGGGTTAAATCATGTTAAATCTATAACAATGACTCATATGCTAAACCTATTGCTTTGTAGGGTCGAGGGAGATAAGTTTCAAAAATGGCTCAAGATGCCAATGTTCTTCACATGTTCAACATATTCGCTTGCTGTAGGAGAAGGAATTAACGAATATAAGAATGATTACATTTCATTTTGTTCATATATTCAACGTAATAATTTCCAGGGGAAGGAAAAGACACCTTAAACATGGTTCATGATGCCAAGTTGTTTTATATGTTGAACGTAATGTTTTGGTAGGGGACAGCGGGGAAAAAGCATAACAATGACTCAAGATTCCAAATTGGTTGATATGTTGAGCGTAGCGTTTTAAAAGGGATCGGGGGAGATGGAGGGAATACATTCAAACTTCAAAACAACGACTCAACATGTCAACTTTGTTCATATATTACAGGTACTGCTTTGTATTTTGTGGAGTCGACGAGAGGTTATAAATTGCAAAAATAACCCCACATGTCAATTTTCTGCACTTGTTCAACCGTTTGCTTTGTAGGGTCGCGAAAACCTCAATTTTAAGAAAAACTCAACGTGTCAACTTTCACCGTAAACAAAACTCGACGTGTCAACTTTCACCGTTTTTTTTAACGTATTGCTTTGTAGGGTCGAGGGACTGTAAATTTCAAAAATGACTCAAGATGCCTTTCTTTCCATGTGTTCAACGTATTGTCTTGATGCAGGGGAAGGCAAGGAACATTTTGACATAAGTAAAGATGCCATGCTGGTTCATACACTAAACATAGCGTTTCGTAGGGGACAGGGCAGGTAAATCCAAAAGAATGCATCAACATGTCAACTTGATCCATATGTTGAATGTATTGCTGTGTATGGTCCAGTGGGCGTAGATTCCAAACATGACTCGAAGTTCCAATTTTGTTCGTTCAACGTCTTGCTTTGTTGTAGGGGAAGGTAAAGACATTTCAAACATGACTCAGGATGCCAAGTCGGTTCATATGTCGAACAAAGTGTTTTGTAGGGGGCCGGAAGATAAATCTATAGCAATGACTCAACATGTCAACTTTCTTCATATGTTGAATCAACCGTATGGTTTTGAAGGTTCGAGGGGGGGGGTAAATTTTCAAAATGACACCACGTGGTAACTTTCCGCATACAATGAACGTATTGTTTTGTAGGGTCGAGGGGGGTAAATTCGCAACAACGATTCCACGTGTCAACTTTCTTCCAACGTTGAACATATTGCTTTGTAGGACCGAAAAAGGGAATAAATTGAAAAATTGGTAAATTGAGAAATGACTCAAGCTGAGAATTGCCCCCATGTGTTCAAGATATTGTTTTTGTGGGGGAGGGCGGATGACAAAAGATGACTTAACGTTTCAACTTTGTTCCTATCTTCAAGGTTCTGACTTGCATGGAAAAGAACATGTTAAACACGTCTCAAGATGCCAAACAGGTTTGTTTGTTGAACGACTTTGAACGTATATTTTTGTAGGGCACAGGGGAGTAGATCTTTAACAATGACTCAACATGCCAAGTTTGTTCATTTGTTGAAGGGAGGTGCTAGCTAGGTAGGGTCGAGGAGATGTAAATTTCAAAAATGACTCCGCATGGCAACTTTCTTCATACCTTAAACCATTTGTCCGGCAGGGTCGAAGGGACGGAAATCCCAAGCATCACTCGACATGCGAAATCTCTCCATATGTTCAACGTGTTGTTTTGTAGGGTCGATGGGTTGTAAATTTCAAAAATGACTCAAGATTCCTTTTTTTCATGTGTTCAATGTATGGTTTTGTTGTAGGGGAAGGCAATGAACATTTTAACATAAGTCAAGATGCCATGCTGATTCATACGTTAAACAAAATGTTTTGTAGGGGACAGGGCAGGTAAATCCAATAGAATGAATCAACATGTCAACTTGATCCATATGTTGAATGTATTGATTTGTAGGGTCAAGGTGTTGGTAAAATTCCAAAATGTTCAACTATAATCTTTGTAGCGTTGAGAAGGGTAAATTTCAAAACTGACGCGACATGTAAGCTTTCTCGGTATGCAAAAGGTTTTATTTTGTAGGGTCAGTCGAGGGGTTGTAAATTGCAAAATGACTCAAGATGCAATTTTTCTTCATGTGTTCAATGTATGAATTGGAAAGGGAGGGGGTGAATTTTTTCAAGACAAATCAACATTTCAACTTTGTTCATACGTATATTCAACGTATTGATTTTTGAGGAATAAAGAATACTTTTTGAACATGACTCAGGATGCCACGTTGGTTCATATGTTGAACGTAGTGCTTTCAACAGGACGGTGACGAAATCTACAAAATGACTCAATATGCCAATTTTCTTTACATGTTTAACGTACTGCTGTGTAGGGTCGGGGGGTCGTAACTTTCAAAAATGACTCAAGATGAATTGTCTTAATTTGTTCAACGTATTGTTTTGTTGAAGGGGAAGGAAATGACATTTGAATCATGACTCGAGATGCCAAGTTAGCTCTAATGTTGAACGGACGTAGTGTTTTGTAGGGGGCGGGCGGGCAAGTTTGTAGCAATGACCCGACTCAACATGTCAACTTCATGGTAAGGTCAGGGGGGGAATAAATTTCAAAACTGGCTCAAGATCTCAATTTGTTTCATGTGTTCAACATTCATATTGTTTTGTGGCGGGGGGAGGCACAAAAAAAATGAACTGACTTAACCCTTCATCGGTGTTCATAGTCAACGTGTTGCTTTGCAAGGGAGGAAACGATATTTGAAACGCAACTCAAGATGCTACGTTGGTTCATATGTTCAACTATGTTAAACGTAGTGTTTTGATGAGGTAAACCGATGAGAAGAACTCAGCCAGTCAACTTTTTCCATAAGTTCAACATATTATCTGGTAGGGTCGATGGGTGGTAAATCACAAAATTGACTCAAAATGCCAATTTTCTTCCTCTGTTCAGCGTATTGTTTTGTAGGGTAGGGTAGGGGGGCTGAAATATGTGAAAATAAATCAACACTTTTGACTTTGTTCATAAATTCAACGTGTTGTTTTGTGAGGAAGGAAAAGACATGTTCAACATGATTCAAGATGCCCAGTTCGTTTACATGTTGAATGCCTTGTAGGGGATGTGTTTGAAAATCTATATAGCACTAACTACATGTGTCAACTGTTCGTATAATATATGTTGAACCTATTGCTTTGCAGGGCTGATGGAATGTAAGTTTATGCCCCTCTCTTACGCGCTATATGTTCTGACATAGTTTAGTTTACGACATTCCATCTGGAAGTATTTATGGCAAATATATTCTGATATTCTATCTGACATTCTTTCTGGCATTGTATCTGACGTATATTCTGCCATTCTGTTTGTTCGGGTCCAGGCGCGCTCCACAGCCTCCTGAGCGCGCGATATGGCTGTCGGGTCCAGGCATCCTGATCTCGCGGCATGGCACTCAGGTCGAGCCGCACTCCACTGCATCCACAGCCGGCGAGGAGAGAAGGAGAGGAAGGAGAGGAAGGAGAGGAAGGAGAGGAAGGAGAGGAAGGAGAGGAAGAAGAGGAAGGAGTCGCACCTTTGTTAAAATCTAGAAACCTTCACCTGGCAGGTGGGGAAAAAGAACTCAAGATAGAAGTTTTGTTCTGCTTTCAAATGTATTGTTTTGTGGAGGTTTGGGGGTGCAAAAAATTGACATAATGTGTTCAATATTCAAGGCAATAATATGCAGGGGAGGAAAAAACATTTTAAACATCACTCAAGGTGCCAAGTTGGTTTAATATGTTGAATGTATTGCCTTGTAGGGTCGAGGGGCGGGTAAATTTTAGAAATGACTTGAGATGACAATTTTGTTGGTTCAACATATTGTTTTGTAACGTCGGAAGCGCAAAAAATCTTGATGACGCGGACTCGACATGTCAATTTACTTCATTTGTTCAACATATTGAAAGGTCGAGGGGGGTATATTTCAAAAATGACCCAAGATGCCAAGTTGGGTCATATGTTGAATGTAGCGGTTTGTACAGGGCAGGAGGAAGGGGATGAAATCACAATAATGACCCAAAATGCCAACTATGATCACATGTTCAAGGTATTGCAGCGTAGGGTCACGGAATTGTAAATGTCGAAAGCCCATTCTTTGGTGTGTTCGAGGTATTGTTTTTCAGGGGAAGGACAGGAGTTCAAAATATAAAGATGACGTGACATTTCTACTTTGTTCATATATTCAACGTATTGGTTTGCAAAGGTAGGGAAAGGACCTGTTAAACATGGCTCGAGATGGCTTGTTCATGCTGAACGATGTTGAACGTTGTGTTTTGTAGGGGCCAGAATGTATATATTGCTTGGTTGGGTCCAATTTCAATCATGACTCACGATGCCAACTTTCTTCATCTGTTCAACGTATTGTCTTGTTGTAGGGGAAGGAAAAGACATTTCAAACATGACTCAAGATGCCAAGTTGGTTCATATGTTGAACATAGTGTTTGTGTGGAGAAGGGACTAAATATTATGATAATGACTAGCAGAATGACTCGACAGGTCAACTTGCTTCATATGTTGAACGTGTTGTGTTGTAGGGCCGAGGGAGGTAGATAAAACATGGCTCAAGATAAATCAAAATGACAAGTTTGGGGTTGGTCGGACATGGTCGGAGTAAAACGACACAAATGAAATCTGGAGTTAGTTTCTAAACTCCTGTTCGGAACCCTGCGGCGTCTTCGGGCGTCTTCGGCGTCTTCTTCGTCTTCGGGCGTCTTCGGCGTCTTCGGGCGTCTTCGGCGTCTTCGGGCGTCTTCGGCCGTCTTCGGCGTCTTCGGCCGCCTTCAGGTGTCTTCGGGCGTCTTCGGCGTCTTCGGGCGTCTTCGGCGTCTTCGGGCGTCTTCGGCGTCTTCGGCGTCTTCGGCGTCTTCGGGCGTCTTCGGCGTCTTCGGGCGTCTTCGGGCGTCTGCGGCGTCTGCGGCGTCTTCGGCGTCTTCGGGCGTCTTCGGCGTCTTCGGGCGTCTTCGGGCGTCTGCGGCGTCTGCGGCGTCTTCGGCGTCTTCGGCCCGAAGTTGGGGCACCTCTACTGCCATCAATGTTTTTGTATGTTGACCGGAGGGTATGTAGAGTTGATATGAGTTGATCACATTCCCCATCATTCGTACACTGCCTGCAACTTCACGGCCCTTCCCCTAAGACAAAGCGTGTCATCCCATGGTGCTTTGTGGTTGGGTCATTTCAGGGATCATCATCTAGGGGATGGAAACAAAAATGAGAACCAACAAAAATACAATCTCCCCAACTAAACCAGTTACCCTGGTAAACTAACATAGCTATTGAAAATGGCACATTTATAGTTGATTTGCGCATTAAACATTGTGATTTTCCATAGCAAACTGTTAGTTTACCAGAGGGTAAACCAGTTATTTCTCTTGTTTCACCTCATTTCACCAAGTAGATCATCCTCGTTTTTTCGGCATCCAACATGAGGTTTTTCACATGACGACCCGACCCACAGTCGGGGCAAAGCTGGGGGCAAATCAACATGGGTCAACTTGTGGAGGGATGGTATTTCTCCGAGTATTGGGAAAAAACATGGGTTGAACTGAATCAACCTTCATGGTGCATCCCAATCTCCAATACATATACTACTGTTGGTGAATGTAGCAATGGGCAACACAATCATAAACCATCCCCCAACTCACCATCTTTATGGGTGGTATGGTTGCCATTCCCAAATGGGTGGTTTATTATTGTTTTACCCACATTAATCATTTTGAAAAAGATGATTGGACCAGTCCGAAGTCCGCATCTCCCCATAGCCACTGCTGTTGGTCGACAACTTTTCCCTTACGACAGATCGCATCAGCTGCTCATCCCGGTTTCGAAGCGCAACGCTTATCGAGCACTACTAAGTTTCTAATTTGATGTAATTTGGGGAGATAGTCAATATTGGAATACCCAAATGCATCACCAGTATTTAAACTCGATGTTACACTATCAACCATTATCAGTAAAAGTTCACCGCTATTGACCCAAAGAAATGCGCAACCATTCCATGTGATCTCATTATTATTCCATAGTCATCCAAATATGACATTCCATAGTACCCATAGTTCCTAGCAATATTATTGTCATATGGACTGTAATAGGCCCATTCAATAGTAATCGTATATCATGTTATATAGATATTCCTTATAATTTATAATATGGAATAATACTAACAGCTCCACAATATAGATATATATATATATATATAGCTATTAATTAATAGTTTATCAACATTAGTTCCTATAATAATTCCTAATGATATAGTAATTGCTGAGAGTCCCATTTTCAGCGACAATTCCAAGCTTTCCCCACCAGCCGCTGCGCGTTTCGCCACAGCCGCGCACCTTGACCTGGAAAAATGGCACCGTTCCAAGCAGCACGGCCGAAGGGACAAAGGAAGCACAAAGCAGCATCAAGGTGCCTCGTCGAGAGCGGATGTTTTCATGAGTTGTTCCGCAAAAGATAGATCCATATGGAAAATGATGGAAAGATATGGGGAAATAAAAAGAGTGATTTAGGTTTTCCATACCAAAACTCGGGGATCCATATGGAACGATATGGCGATCTGATGTTTGAAATGGATCCAAGAAAATCATGATTGGTTGGGAAGAAGTGGAAAAAAAAACTAGTTAAGCAACAACAAAAGAGGATTCAACAAAATTGAGCCAACTAAACTGGTTGGTGATGGGAAGGATTATCCCATAATTGTATTGTGGAAAATAAAATATGTTTTTTTTGCCCACCCAAAAAAACACGCTCCGGCTTCATCGATAGATTTTGGGCCTTGCATGTTGACCCAATAATGACACTCTACGTAGATCGTCATTTTTTACGGAGCGTGCACCGCACCAAGCATTCTTGCTAGTAATGGTCAGCAAAATTCATGTGGGTGATGTCTAAAGAAATATAAACATATTCCCAAGAATATGCAGGATATAACAGACTTCCTGTCTCATTTTTGCAGCACTTTCACGTCTTTGTTTTCCACGCGAAGCCTTGCAATACGATCTTCTCCAAGAAACACGAAGCAAAGTTTACCATACTGTGTAGAGTTTACCCCCTATTCATGTGTATTCTTCAGGCTCATCCCAAGCTTGCAAGAAACATTACCGAAAACCATGTATTCAATGTATTCACTTTTAGGTTTTGACCTGAAAAAATGAGAGCTTCCAATAGCCGGAGGGAACATGGAGCTTCATCTCTCTCATATGGAAAAATCACACATAGGCCAGTATTAATACCCTCTGGTAAACTAACATAGCTATTGAAAATGGCCATAAAAATAGTGGATTTACCCATTAAAAGCATGGTGATTTTCCATAGTTATGTAAACGTTTACCAGAGGGTATTGTCTTGCTGGAAGAAATAGAGTGGCTGATTTGGTATATGATTCATTTATCATCGACCCATTGGATCACATTGGTTGGTTTTCATGGGAACCTCCGACTTCCGTCTTTTTCCTCATGAATCAGTGGGATTTTAAGACATCCACAGGTCGACTTCACAAGTCCCATCAGCCTAAATCTAGACACTCACATCCCATGTTGTCTCAAATATTGTTTCATTCATCATATTTCAATCATATTTCATCCACCCATGGTTTCTTTGGAGCTTCAAATAAAAACAACGGGGCGGAACACAGCCATCCACCAGCCCGCCACGCCCCGCCACGCCAAGACGCCAAGGCCCAGTTGTGTGTAGCGCAAACGATGTACCAAGCGTCGAGGGACGTCGCCCGGGAGCTGATTCCAGAGACGGTGAAGACCTGCCACGCCAGGCTGGACTTCGATGCTGGATGGGGGTTGACCACCCAACGAGCAAAGTCTGTAGAATATCAACCATAGATCCAACCAAAAGGGGGGAATTCATGTCATCAATGGCCATTTCAGGATCCTAAAATGGAGGTGCCTACCATATGTAAGGCCTATATAAGGGCTATGTAAGGGAATGTACACCCAAAATATGGCCTTATATGGTACAGTACCTCCATTTTAGGATCCTGGAGATCTCCCATTGATGTCAGAAACATGCTGAAAAATGTTGGAAAATCATTGGAAAATCAGTTGGGGAAAATGCGGATAAACCATTGGATCCCGGAGAAAATCCCTTCGTCTCCCCTTCGGAAACGACGTCCTGGAACTACGCTAAGATCAACTGAACGAAGCTCCGCTGTGAATGGAAACAGATTCGAAACACCGAAGAAATGGAATCAAGTATGAATTGTTTCAACGAATTGTCCTCAAGCTTGTCAAGAGGCTGTTTGAATTAGCTCTGACCTATTTCACTAGGCATTTGCAACCTTTCCCCTGAATGTTTCAGGTACCAAAGTCATTTACCAACCAGACTATTCACCGCTACGTGGCACCTCGCAGCACTTTCTTTTGAGCAATGGTTGTTGAACTTAAACATGTAACCATCAAACATGTAACGTCTTTTCATGGGATATCTTATGATGAGAATATGAATGAATATGATATATATACATATACACAGTAATATTAACTATATTAACAGTACCCTTTTTTGGTTTCATCCTTGCCATGGCTTGCCATGGCATCCATGATCGATGAATGGTGGATTTTCCAGTCACGATATCTCGCTTTATGTCTCGAAGAGTGAACTGGGCGTGAGTAGGGACTTGCATGTGTGACAAAAACAATCATTTATATTAAATACAAACTACATATATCAGTTAAATTCACAACAATAACTTACTTTGGTTTCCAACAATATCACAGTTTTCAATCTTCATGGGCAACAAATCACTATCCACCGGCCAAAAACGAAAACCCCATCCGCGATGCCTCTGACCAACATTCCAAAGGCCACGGTGGGAGCGAAACCAAAGACCGCGCCCAGTTGAACCAAGGTGAAAGTCTTAGTGTGTGAGGCAGCGAGCCAAAAACGACCCATCTATGGGAAACGTTTTCAAAAAGTTCTGGAAAACACATGGGGAATCCCTAGGAAAATGATCTACAAATGGTGGGGTGTTCCACATATGTGTATATATATATTATATGTATATATATATGGTTATTATATATATATATATGGTCATTTAGCGTAGCTATAGAAAATCACCATGCTATGAATAGGTCGGCATCATTCTGTAACATCTATGAATGGTTCATTTTCCATATGAAATTCAGACATGTTTATAGAAGCCACCTGGAAACAGTTCGGCACATAGATGCCGAAAGCTCTGTTTCCAGGATGTTAGTTTGTTGAATGATGTACTTGAGATTTCCATCTCCAGGTGTCCAACTTTTCGAAAAAAATCTTTCTGGAGCTTGATATATATATATATATGTGTGTGTATGGTTATTATATATATATATGATTATTATATATATATAATTGGACACTTGGACGATGAAGAGCGTGGAAAGATGATCATTCATGGAAAGTCAATGAAAAGTCAAAAAAAACCAATGGCGGAGGCGGTACCGTTGATGGTTTTGCTGGTAGGAAATAATGGGAACATCAAAAAAAAAAGTATGGGGATAGGTCAAAACCTACCATCTGCACCATATTTGGGGGATTTTAGATCCATCTAGCCATTCTCGTGTTCACCAGGTACACTCCAGTGTTGAACACATATATAATACATATATACATATATAATGAGGATTAATGAGGATTGGGTTACATATACATATATAATACATATAATCTGCACCATATATACATATTAAATGAGGATTACACAAGCCACAAAATGATGTTTGGGTGGGAGACGTTGGCAACCCAAGCAGCCACGCTTACCATGGTGATATCATGGGGACAGAATGGCGAATGTCAAGTCATTGGTGTAGCAACGGGACATGGCGAATCATGTTTAGAATTTGGAACCATCCATGTTTGTGGATTCATAACTTTGAGCCAAACCAAACTGATCTAAATGGTTTCAAATAGGTTTGAATCAATCATGGGATAAAATAGGCTTGAAAAAACACCAGGCTTCACACGTCGTCCACATATCTACAAGGGCGGTGCGCTTGTATCTTTTTTTAGACAGCCACAAAAAGATGCGTCGGAAACAATCACACCCGACAGATTTAAAGCAATTTTGGGGTTGAATTCCCTTCCAAACCATCATTTGAGATCGCTTACATCATCCATATAAGATAGGAAAAGGATGCATGCTTCACAAAAATGATATCCCCCCCGACCAAATGATGAGCCCACACATGAAGCTACCACTCAAGCCCCCCAGGGACCCTGTAAACCCATTGGTTGACATCAAAATCCAATGTCAATGTAAAGAGAGATCAGCCGCCACGGGCTTAGATTCTTAGATCATCTTAGATCTATCATCATACCCTGCAAACAGTTTCATGTTTTTCGCTGGGCGTCTGAAAGGCATGTCCCCCCAGAAATATCATGGGCATTCAACCCGCCACCAGGGTGACACCCAATGATAGATGGTTTATAAGCCTAACAGTTAGTAGTTGTTGGTGATTCATAAACCCTTCGCCCCTTAGCCTGCTTGGGGCTTCATCTTTGTGGCTACTTGAATCCCCATGGCATATCAACATAGATCTAGTTAGTTACATAGCTGGTTATATCACCATCGTACAGCCTCTGGTAATCAAACGTGCAAATGGAAAATATCCGAGCTAACCGGAAGTTTGTAGCGGGGAAAATCATCAAACTAAATGGTGGATGTTTCAGCAAGCTACATTTGACGACATCGGAGGTAACATGTTTTTAGTCTGACACATCTAATGGGTATGGGTCAAAATTGGGTACCTCAATCATCAGATGGTTAGTACTAAAAGTAGACTAAGCCATCTGTGGTCAGGACTCCAATGGCTTGACACATCTCCCCTAGGACGTCAATGCCCCAATGGTCACAAAAGAAATCTCAAACTGGTCACCGTGCCAATAAATGTCCTTTTGGTAAAGATAGAGGGGCCAGGAGCTGGTTAATCTCATCTATCATGAAACAAACCTGTTGTGAAATGGGTTTCTGAAGAACCCCCTCTTTTTTCATCAGCCAACCAATGGGAAAAGGACATCTCACCGTGCCTTGCAATGGATTGCTTTTACCAGTAAGATCCAGTACATATTATGGTCGTGGCCTTGCCAACCCTGGTCCCCGGATGCTACCCTAAGTCATAGCTGGTGAATGGATGTTGATCCCAAAAAAATTGGAGAAAAAAAAACATAGGTCTGGACCCATTTCAAAAAATCGTTTTCTATATCTAGGTCAACTGACCTATTTCCCTTCAAGCCATTTTTCAATTCTGGGAGTGTTCTGTTTCCAACTGGGCCTGTCAGATATGGTGACTGATCAGTTGGTTCCTCGAAGATTGTTTTCCCAGTAATTAATCCTGATGCACCATTATAAACCATTACAACACATGTTCCAATATCAAAAACAATTGCAGAGCATGATGCAGCATGATAAACCATGATAAACCCTTAGCACCATTATAATCAATTCCAAACTTATATAAACCACACAAACCAGTATGCTTTTACACGTGCAAACACCATCATGCACGTGCGTCAGAGTTCTCGAGTTCCCGTTGTCTCGGCCAACGCGGCCAGGCTGCGGTGAAGGTTGTACATCTATCTTCATGTCTCTCCAACAGGTATACCATTGTAAAAAGCGAGCCTGAAGCAATTTCTCGCCGTCGGTCCGTCGCTTGTGAAAATTTCGGATTTTTTGTTGGATTTTGTTGGGTTTTTTGGTATGGGAATGCCATGGGAACTCTGATGCGAATATGATGGGAATAGCATGGCTAGTTGGTGGTATACCTACCCCTCTGAAAAATATGAAAGTCAGTTGGGATGATGACATTCCCAATATATGGAAAGTCATAAAATTCCATGGTTCCAGTCACCACCAACCAGAATCCCCTTCTATAAATCCCATTAACCATTAACTTCCCACTATTATTAGCCATTAATGGGTAACCCATTCTATAATGGTTAAATAAAAATCCCATAAAGAAAACCATTTTTTCATAAATCCATTTATAATGGGATTATTCCCATTTATATTAATCCATAGTTAACCATCAATTACCATAGCAATGGGAATAATCCCATTATAAGCAGATGGGAATATATAGATGGGAATAATAATATTGACTAGTTTTCCCATTTATATTAACCATAGTTAACTATGGAAAACCAGTCACCACCAAGCAGATGGGAATTCCATAGCAGTTTGCGATGGGAATCTCATGGGATGATGGGATGGATATTCCAACCGTCGAGACGTCCCCGTTGTCCCCGTTGCGGGTGCCTGGGGATATTCCAACCGTCGATCCAGCAGCAATGGGGATATCTCCCAGTTATAATATATCCCAATATATATATATATTTATATTTATATTATATATTATATATATATATTATATATATATAAAGCAAGTGAAGCTATAGCCGGGATAATAAACGGATACAACTTGATTTAATCAATAATATAATGAACATAGCTGTTTAAAAGAACCATTTTTATAGGTAAATCATGGAACTAAATGGACCAGTTTCCATGGCTACGGGAAAAAATACTGGAGAGTACTTTTTTGTAGCCTGTGATTGGGCAAGTAAGATCGCAACAACAGAATCTACTTGAACTGATTGCCTCTAACTGTCAGGAGGGCTACTAATCAGAGGTCCGTTAATATACGTTTCCCAGATCCTTCACTCCTACACTTACACTGACGTTTCTGCTTCTGCGAGACCCAAGCACCCACATGATTTGCATGTATCTGCAGCATTGTGGCACTGCATTGTTTATGTGGTTCATACTACTTTGCGTAATGTTTATTTATGTGTGTAGCCTATAGCATGCTTTCATGTGTATACTGTGTTCCATTAATGTTTGCATCGCAATATGCTTCTAAACGAATGCGTCTCTAAGAACATACAGCAAGAGCTCGGCAAAACAGGCAACAGCTCAGCTCGTTTCTCTCACCTATGCAAAGCTGTGCACCCAAAGCCAGTGGGTCATCATGTTCCCATTTTTCAATGGCTCTGTCTATAGTATACCCATTCCCCATGTAAAAAGGTCCACATCCAAAATCCTCCAAATAGTCATATTGATATTCGTTCAAGGTATATAGTGTTCCATATTGTACACATGCAATATCTCCACTATTGTCCCCACTATTGTTCACAACCAAGTACAGTAGCCAAGTTGGTTACATATATATATAATTAAATTTATATATCCCCGATTCTGCTTGCTTAAAAGCCTGGGTCTAGTAGGGGATTTACACACATTTGGGAAGATTTGGGAGATGTTTCATGATTTTCATGTCAGGTGGGATTCTATCCCCATCTTTGATGGTTGAATTATAGTTCCCTTATATATTATTAACCACGATTAACCACGATTAACCACTATTAACCACTATTAGCCACTATTAACGACCATGAACTATGAACCACTAACCGGTTTTGCTTCGCCAAGCCGCCCAGGATGAAGACTTGAGAAATCATGGAGGCAATTCCCACCATTTTCAACCGCCTCAAGCTACAAGAGTGCCTGGCGACAACGTCGATGGCGACGGTTTGCTGAAACCATACATGGATACCCATGGATACCACATGTATGGTTTATGGTGGTGTTCTGTTAATAATGGTGAATAGTGATTATATAAGAAGAATGGTTGGTCATGGGATATTTAATGGCATATCGGCATATTTGCTAGAGATATATGTTCCCCAAAAACCTATTTCCATTAAATATAAACCAATCTTGGATGATTTTGGGGTAATTACATATACCAAGCAAACCCCAAAAAATTATGCCGAAAAGTTTCCGAAACCTGGAACATGGGGGGAAAACATCACAAGAACTAGCATCCTGAACGGCCCAAAAAAATTGGTGGTACACCGCCCAATGATGAACTTGCAGGGCTCCCAAAAAGGGTGGCTGGAGCTTCCAGCTCCATGATTCTCCATGTCAGGGATTCCGTGGTGATCCCCTTGTCTGGGCCTTGTCAGGTGGATAGCCCAAGTGGATGTCCAAATTTCGCGAAATCATCCCAGTTTTAACCAATTGAGTCTTAGTGAGTGGACATTTTTTTCAAGCGCACCAGGCGTACCAATGGATTCCTTGAAACACTCATATGCCCCATTCGGATCCGGATGGCTATGGCCGTCAGATACTCGCAAAATCAGTTGAGTTCACACAGTTAAAGCCCTTTACAAGTTTTAAAATGTTATAAATGGTTATAAACGGGCTTATCATTCCATAAATGGGGGTAGAACATGGTAGAACTGACTTCGAACTGGTATTGCGGGTCATAACTGCACAGCTTGTCATCCTCTTTGACTCTTCAAAATTCCCATGGTACCGTGGCGGTGCAGCCCAGCTGCTGCTTAGGATCCAAAGCGTAAACCAAATCGACCGCTTCAGTACAAATGTCCCAATAGATGAGCATCAAGATACCCACCTCATTGATCCAATTTTTGGATCATGGTCATTGACAATGGGATATCTTCTATGGATATCATCCCCAAAAGGAGCAGAATATGCCCAAGAAAGGACCGCAAAAGTTTAGCACATTTTAGGCTGGAACCCTGATTTAGCAGGGTCTATGCTAGATATGCCAGTTGGAGGGAGGGTAAGAACAATTTCGATGATGGGACATAGAAAAATTACGCTTTTACTCCATGAACCGCTCCAGAAAAGAATCAAAATCCTACGATACTACGCAATGCCCTTGAGCCACCAACAGTTAAATGTGTCCGATTTGGTCGCAAGGAAAGTCAGGTGAATTGACGACCAAATCCGGAGATGAGAAAGGAGGAGAGAATTTGGATAGCCTCACTTTTGAGGTACCCAGCACCCTGTATTCAGCGAGGAAACCTTGATACATCTTGATACCTTCAAATGCTAGGTGTGGTTCTGTGACGTTTTGACTTCTGACACCTGGTTGAAACTCAGGATGTCGGAAATGTTTTGAAACTTACAGTAGGTACTTCGTCCTTCGCAAATAAGGCTGAGTGCAGAATCCAAAAATGGAAATGTTGGGACTGGACCAGGACGCCCCAAGACGTTAAGGGTTGAATTTATGTGAAGAACCAGTTCATGTGCCTTTTTTCAGCAACTCCCTGTCCAAAATCCAGGGTCAGGATTCACAGGTCTTCAAAACACAACTTTCCCATCTTCCAAGTCATCATGGAGTCTAAACATTACCATATATGGCCGTTTCTGGGCCGTGATGTTGGTTTTCAGAATTTTTCAGGGGCATCCAAACATATAATGTCAAAATATGTCATCTCATCTCAAATGAGGTCATGCTTCAGGAGGTTTTGAGACACGAAGCAACATACGGTATAAAATGGTATGACCCGAGTAGTGGGAATACCACGATCAAGCCCATCACCTGTAGAGTGTTGATCTGTCCGAAAATGGACATGTCTGATGTCCCAAAACAAAGCCCATCATTTTGTTGAATCACTTCCTAAGTTTGAGGATAAGATATACTGAACTTACTAAACATCTGGATTCTCCATAATGATTTGAACCATTTTGAAGCCATCAAAGGGATGGCCCCAACATCTACGGCGCCAATCGACGTGGTCAGTGATGTCGCCCACAGCAAAGAGCACAAGGTGTGGAATGCTGTTGGGGTAATTGAAGTGTGGATCTCCTATTCGGACTAGTGCCTGGTCGCGCTCTGCGGCAAGATTCAGCAACTATTCCCCATAGATTCTGGAAATGTCAATGGCTTGGTTTCAGGGAGAATTTGCAGCAAACCATGGTTTCCCATAAATTATGGGGGCTCCTCTAAACTGGCTCAACCAATTTTGGGAATAGTTTCCCAAAATAGATTGGTGGCGCTATCAACCGTCGAATCAACATGCATCATTTCTACTGGCTCAGATGGTAAACATATTCATAAACAGGGCCGGTGGTATGTTCACACGTAAATCTTTGGTTTCCCCAGAGTACACCATGTTCCATGAGGGACTTTGTTGGTGGTTTCAACCTATCCCTCTGAAAAATATGAACGTCAGTTGGGATTGTTATTCCCAATATATGGAAAAAAATGTTCCAAACCACCAACCAGGGACTTTGTTGGGTCCCAAGAAATCCATACTGCCCGACAGCTAGTGGTTCCTTCACTCCATTGATAGGAGTTGATATGTTTTTTTTGTCTGAAAATAGGGGAAATTCCCAATGGCGCTTTTGATGTTGAGAAAACGATGATTACTGTAATCAGTGGATTTACGGTTAACCCAATTTCAAGTCCTGGAGCTTTGCTTCATGCTGCTGAATAACAACTAGAAAGACCTGGGTCTGAGGACGGCTGGGTCATTGTGATCCATAATTTTGTCAGAGACACTATCTTAGGCCTGGCTAAAATCTATGCTGAATGCATGTGATCACTTTCAAAGGATTCCTTGGAAGCTGCATTCTTTGCTGTTGCAAGGATGGGATTTATGAAGGACATGAAATTTCAGATCAAGTAACCAAATGGTTTCTGGATGGATACCCCTTGGGAATCAAATCTGTCAATGGAAAATTCCGATTGCCCAACGACAATCAAAACAGAAAGGAATTGGGATGGTCCATTTCCAATTCAAGTATACCAAAGCATGTACAAAAGTATGTATGTATGTATGTATGCATGCATGCATGTATATATATATATAATATGTACATAGGCTGATGTTGCACATTCCAGTTTCATTACAGTTTCCTTCGTGACGTGCTGTATGTTGAAAACAACCCGTCCCGAAGAGATACAGTTGGCCGATGTAGGGTGACTCCGACATTGTTTAATAGAAACTGTCGCTGGAGAACCTCCCATTTCACCACGTTTCTGGGAGTTTATAATAGGAATTGGGAGGTTCCATTTTGTAATGGCTGATGTTCTTCCATTTTTTCACCACGTTTCTGTGGGTGAAATACAATTCGCGCCTGTGGAAGGGAGAGAGTCAGACCCAGCGTAACTAGACCGAAGCCTCAGAGCGCTGGCAGCTAAATCCCCCATTTTGTTCGATGTTTCTCCCAGCTATACTACCTCCATGGTTAGTTCGGGGATTACCCAGCCAGCCACATTTGATGACACCCAAGGGTATGTTTTGGGTTTACCAGCTCCCCATGACTATAATTAACGGGATAAGTCATGAAAATGCCAAGTTGATCCATATAATGTGCCATGGTCGAAACGTGGTAGATCATGGTCATCCATCCCATCATGGGATTCCAGTGTGTTTTTTGGCTACATAAATCATAAATCGCTGTGAAGATCCATTGATGACCATTCCCCAAGGACTAGGTATGTATGTATATATATATATGGTCACTGCCCTCAAATGGAACTACACCAAGGTCCATTGAGGGATATTGTTACTTTAATGTTTAGATATGTTAATATATACATATGTCAAAAACTATGCAAATACCATGGAAAAATAAACAACATGTATGTTAAAATATAATCACAGTAAACAAGTTAAACTGAATGTTCCAAAACAAAGGCCAAATTTTGGCCTCCACTTCAAAACATTCATTGTCATGGCAACCATCTGTCCTTTGGGAAGGCCCTTAGGCTGGAAAACACAAAAAAAAAACATATTTTGAGATTCTTTGGGGAGGGCCCCATCGAGAAAACCAAAACAAACAGTGGAAAAACAAAAAACAAAAAAAGGAGACTCTTTGGAGAGTGCCCCATGGAGAAAAGCCAAAAAAGTTGGAAAAAACAAAAAAATATTAAAAACAAAAAACAAAAATGCATTGGAGAGCCTTCTCCCCTTCCCCCATCCCAAAGTCGGCTCCCAAAACTTGTTTTTTGGTATGTTTTTTTTTTTGTTTTCTTTTCTTGGTACCCCTCTCCTTCCAAAACACAACCCAAAACAAGTCGTCCAAAACGTTTATATGTTTATTCGTCCTGGTGTGGGGGAGAGGTGGTGATCTAATAAGTTCTAAAAATATATGATATGCAATGCTATACTTATGACATCTAGTACTGACGACTGCGAACATAGACATTTCAGAAATAGTCGACGCTGGCGGTGTATTTGTTTCCGGGTGTCGTGCGGACTGACCCGCACACTCACTCAAATCTATTCTTTTATTGTTACAGTCGACGCCTTGGCGTGGTTTATTGCCGAGCGTTGTGCGGATTATTATTACATTCACTTCTATGCCTTATATCCAACAGAAAGCAAAACTCTTTTCATTGCAACAGGCAATGCATAAAAAATAGGTTCTTTTCTTCAAAGACAACCATGGTAGTCGTTGCTACTAGAAACAGACAGTGGCCACACATTACGAGTATGTCACATCACTTGCATGACTGGAACTTGGACAAATCATACCCTCTCAACCTGTCTTCAAACATATTCTTTCCAGCACAGATCGCGGTCGTTCTCCTCTACTGGCAAGAACTCCTATGTCTGCGCTTCCCCCTGGTCCTCGCACTCCTCCGGGTCCACCTCCCCCGACACCTGATATTAAGAATATGGTGCCGGACACTCCTCCAGAACTGCTAGGCTCTCCACCGCGCACCCCGGAGTCGCAGTAGAGAAGATAGACAAGGATGTAAGACATCAGTGAATGATACCGAAGTGATACTCATAATTTTATCATTTTTAATCTATTATCAGTATTAAAGTACATATTTTCTCATATGTGTTGATGCTTCAATCACAATCATTCATGTTGATGCCGTCCATAGCGTCGAGGCAGTTTTTGCTGGAGACATACTATGTTCATGTATGTTTCAACAATGTGCTTCATAAAAAGAAAGAGCAGAAGAGCAGTGGCAAGACAGTCTGTGTCAGTTCTTGATGGCTAGAAAGTCATCGTGAAGGCCGACACCTAGATCAGACACACTATGTTCATGTATGTTTTGCGAGGATGCGAAAAAGGTAGGTCTATTCAAGGGCGCTGAGCATGCACATATATATATATATGGTCTCATGTTCCGTGTTCCTACCCCCCCCAATGGTATGGGTCCCCAGGTTGCACCCCCTTCCCTTCTGTTTGCAGGCTATTGGCAGCATTTCTGAGGTCCAGCCTCGTATTTGCTAGGTCTTTGCTGCATTTCTGACTACCAGCCTCGCATTTACTAGGTGCATGCTACCTTTTAGATGACCTACGTAGCACACATACTCCCTCAAAGTACCTACGTGCTACCTATAGTCATATATACATGTGCTATGTATCTACTTCCTATAGATACATATATATATATAGAAATATATATATATACATTATACATACATACATACATACATACATACATACATACATACTACCATACCATACCATACCATACCATACAATACAATACATTACATTACATTACATACATACATACATACATACATACAATACATACATACATACATAACATAACATAACATAACATAACATACATAACATAACAAAACATAACATAACATAACATAACATTACTTACATACATACATACATACATTACATACATTACATACATTACATACATTACATACATTACATACATTACATACATTACATACATTACATACATTACATACATTACATTACATTACATTACATTACATTACATTACATTCATACATACATACATACATACATACATTACATACATACATACATACATACATACATACATACATACATACATACATACATGCATACATACATACATACATACATTACATACATTACATACATTACATACATTACATACTTTACATACATTACATACATTACATACATTACATACATTAGATACATTACATACATTACATACATACATTACATACATACATACATACATACATACATACATACATACATACTTACATTACATTACATTACATTACTTTACATTACATTACATTACTTTACATTACATTACATTACTTTACATTACATTACATACATACATACATACATTACATACATACATACATACATACATACATAGATAGATAGATACATACATACATACATACATACATTACATACATACATACATTACATTACATTACATTACATTACATTACATTACATTAATACATACATACATACATACATACATATATACATATATATATGTACACATATACATATATTCATACACATATATCTATTTATAAATAAATAAATAAATACATATATATATATATCTATATATATATGCGCAGTACCACACCCCCACCACACCACAGGGAGGGGAAGGGGACAGTACCACACCCCCACCACACCACAGGGAGGGTAAGGGGACAGTACCACACCACACCACACCACAGGGGGGGGAGGGGCACAGTACTTTGGCTGACCCAAAACCATGGCCGGGGGGGGGAGGGGGGTTTGAAGGCTGGACCATATATACATATATACATATATATATATGTATGCATGTGTATAATCCAAGTTTTGACAGCAGCCACGCGGATCCAATGTCCACATTCCGTAACCCCAAGCTCTGGTGGCGGTATCACGAAACAGAAACTAGAGACGTAACTATCATCGTTTGCATAAATTATGAATTACTGCCGAGTCTTCCTCAATTTCTTCATAAATTGAGTATAACGGTTGAATCTGATACTTGCTGGAGGATCTTCGATTGGTTCAAGTTGAATGGAAGGTTGGACATCCTTGATGTAGACCACCTGATAAAGTGCAGCTGAAGATTGCAGTGAAAGGATGTACTGACGTACTGCTGTGATTGTTTCATCTTGTCTGGGTATCATGGGTCTTCTTGGAACACCAGCTACCGGGCAGACATGCCCCAAACGCTGCAATGACTTACACTTGGATTCCTTGAAGTCGGGGAAAAAAACCTCACTCAAAATTGTCTGAACATTTTGAAGAAGATTACGAAAGGTCAGAATCTGGCGAGAAGCCGCACGCTTCGCTTTTGGTAGTAGGATGGCTTCCGGGCTTTGATAAGAAATGTAAACTGATTTTGCTCCATATCCTTCTGAGCGGATTGGTAGGTTGTACCCAGTAACTATATAAAAATTAAAAATAAGTTCGAGCCAACTCATGCCCCAATCCGACTTGTCTTCCTCTGAATAGTTGTCAGGCCAGCTCAACAGCCGGGCCCAAGTAAACAGCGCTTTACCCAGGTTTGCACCCTGTAAGCACAACTGAAAATTGTCATCAGAGACATCCTGTACCTCCAAATGTCTAAAATTCGACGGTGAGAAATCTCTCAAAATCAAAAAAGCTTCATGACCCATGGCTTCTGAGTCAAAGAGTCCTACCACCCGCTCGGGTGGTTTCTTGGGTTGATCCATGTTCCGATTGTGATTGGCCTGATCCTTGTCTTTTTGATTGCACGCAAACGTCCTTTCCTTGTTAAGATGTACCAGATACGCAAAAACTGCATCCAGTCTGGCCCCTTCTTGTTTCTGAAAAGTAGCAATGTCGTCCGCCATCTGTCTCAAAAAATGTGGGGTTCTTTGTAAAACCAGAGTCGCAGCCATGTCAGCACAAAAATTGCCTGCAATAAACCATAGATCCTGTAAATCTTTCGCACTTTCAAACGATCTGTGGCTCTTAACCTTGATGAGTTGAAAACGCTGCGAATCCCAAACAGTGGACAATTCCACAACAAGATCTGAATTTGGTAGTTATCATGGCCACAATAGCACAAACATATGCTGCATCTGTGACGAACTCAACCTGCGTGGCATTGGAATTTTTGTTGGCAATTTTTGCTGCCACCAAAATTGCCGTGAGCTCCCCTCTTGCTGCGGTTTGTTGCCCCTTAACATAGCCCAATGCAGCTACCTGAAAAAGGGGAAAAGAAGGAGGTTGTGTAAAAATCATATCAGCCGCCATTTTTCTCTGTTGATCATCCTTGGAAATATCCTCAACGACTGACCATGAGGCAATCCTTGCCATCGGACAGTTCGGATGTATCGCTCCTCCATCAGTAAAAAATCTCAAACACGTAGAGCTGGGATCCCTTGTTTCTGGTATAGGAAGTTGCTTAATCCCATCCAAGAATTGCTGAAACAGAAATACATTGGGATGTTGTCTTGGCAACGGCAAGTATACCCATTCTTCCCTGATCGTCCCAAGCACTTCACACGCTACTGCATGCTGATCACGCAACTGACTGAAATGGGTACACTCCAACAGTCTGTGCTGCCTTGTGTCTGCTTGTTCACAAAAAGGACAACATCCTTCAATTTCATCTGTCCAACCTGCCTTTCTCTTGTCGGTTTGAAATCCGCCCACCACGTTCAGTTTGATCCACTGTTGTTCCTCATCTGTCAATTTAGAAAAGTGCTTGGAACCCAATTGTGTGTCCAGATAGTGTTGTCCAATGCCCTTTCGATCTGAAATCTGAACAAGGTGAAGATCCCACATCCTGTGCAATGTTGCCACAATGTAGCGCGTGGAGTCTGTCAAAATATTGCAATAGACATTCTCAGGGCCTATAAGCCATCCATTCGTCTGTAACTGCCAACCCATGTGATTCAGATAGCATCTGAATGCAGTGGCAGGACCATATGGACGTGTCCCCTCAAAATCCACAACCGCATGAAGTGTCTCACAAGCAATTGCCTTCTGTAAATTCGCAAGTCGACGAATTGTTCTGACGCAAAGGCACAATGTATATAGGAAAGGATCACATAGGTGTCTGGACAAAGATCGACAGGCCAAGAAAGGTGAAGATGTATGCCAAAATCCAACCAATGCATGCAAAACTGATCTGCGGAGACCAACGTAATGTTGCTGACCAATATATGTTGTATCTGAAGTATACAGAGCCAACGGCCAGCAGGAGGCCTGAATGATCATAGCTTTCTTTTGCATGGAGGCCGGAATCCACTCCACCTTTTTCATTCTTGTCTTCCATGGCACAATGTACAGTATGGCTGTGGCATCAAAAGTCTGTTTGCATCGTTGGTGAATCGTCCGGGTCGCCTATGGTTTTTGGGCCCTGATTCAGACCTCAATTTGACTAACAACCATACTGTGGATGGAAGAAATCCTGCACCAGTTGGTAACCATTGGTAACTATGAAACATTGTATTGGGATAAGCCATCTACCAACAGGTGCAGGATTTCTTCCATCCACTGTATGTATAACATTGTATAACATACATATCTATATCCTAAATTATACTAACATACATATCTATGGGTAGATTATGAACACCATATATTGGGACCAATCAACAGAAATTCTACCCAACAAGAACTAGTGACAACATTTCTGTAGCAATGCTGGATTATTGACATTAGTCTTGTCGAGCATCCTCGAGGCAGCAGTGAATATGCGAATTTGATTTTTACAGTGTACACTAAATCCAGCCACAAATATCCAGAAATGCTGTGAGCCAAAAAAAGGGTTCATTGAAGTTGTGCTACATTGGCTACATACGAGGCTCAAGGGATTCGTGGGTATATGATGGTATACAGTCCCAAAAAAAAGAGGGATGACAATCACCAAATTCAAATCTGGGAGTTCATCAACAAATTGGGCATCTACTAAGCATCACTGTATGTCCTGTGGCTAGAATGTCGTTATTAAAAGCCTCACTAAACCTGGGAAAAAATCAGCTCCGCAAGGGGCTTTAGCCGCTTTAGCCATTCATTCTTTGATGATTTTCCGCTCAAACCCTGGGAACATGTCTTCATCATTTTCTGGTTGGTGGTATACCTACCCCTCTGAAAAATATGAGTTCGTCAGTTGGGATGATTATTCCCAATATATGAAAAAAACATGTTCCAAACCACCAACCACTTTTATGTGTTTTTCTTTGTCAGAAGGTACTACCCGGAAACATCCGCAAAATCCTCATTGAAACAACTCGATTTGAAGCATTCGCTACGTTAGCGATTTGAATGGGATGATCCTGGCGCGGGGCTATGGTTTGTTGGACATAGAACAAGTATAACAAGTATTGAATAGTAAGTATGAATATGGATTATATTTAGTTAGGAGTAGTATATAGTATTTAAGTATACTATAACAAGTATAACATGAATAATAGTAGATATAGTAAGTGTGAGTTAGTAGTAGTGATGGACATATTTTTTTCATAAAACATATCTGCAAATCACCTTCGTTTGTTCAGGAGACTCAAAAGCAGGCGTCTCGTGAAAAAAGGGACTTCGAGAACAATGACATCCATGTTGTGAACCATTCACATTGTACATTGTGAATATTCTAGGATCTACCCTCTGGTAAACTAACATAACTATGGAAAATCACCATTTTCAATGGGTAAATCCACTATAAATGGCCATTTTCAATAGCTATGTTAAATTACCAGAGGGTATATTCAATCTTCTAGTGGCCTTCCTCACTGCGTTTTTCCCTCGTTTTTCGATGTTGCCAGCGTTGCCAAGGCGCTCATAACACGATTGATGGATCGGTGAGTGTAACATAGACAAATGGCATAGATCCTCAGTGGCGGACCTACTTGAACCAAGCGGTTCCGTGGCCACAAGTGAGACATGGAAAGGACCAAAGGAAGAGCCCTTTCCGAATGGAATCTGGATGAACAAATACCATCTTGATAAATTATTGGTACAGATAAATGGTGAATCTCCAAATTGTTTCCTTTTCCACTTTAAAAAAGTCCATAGCAGCATCAGAATTGGATCCAGGTCAGAAATTCACACTAAAACTGCAGAAAAACCTGTAATTTTGGGTCTAGAGGATCCTTAAAATCCAACGGGTTTATTGTAATTTGTCCCATTAATGCTGCTGTGCTTGCAGTATACCCAATTCTTTGGTCAAACTCATCTCATACTGTTGGCTATTCAGGCTATACATATATGTACACACTGGAGAAAAAAGATATCCCACTATATCCCCAAACAGAAAATCAAAACTGTTGGCGTTTACACGGATATGTTTCTTGCTGTGCAGGTATTATTCATTGAATATGCCAAGAATTGGAAGATCAGCATATACCTGTCATTCTATACCCATTGTATACCCTCTGGTAAACATACAAAAAGCTATGGAAAATCACCATGCTATTAATAGGTAAATCCACTATTTCTATGGCCATTTTCAATAGCAAACTGTCAGTCATTACCAGAGGGTAAGCATCAAAAATCCCGTTGGGAATGCCCGCAGCCATGCAAGCTGCAGATAGATGCCGACATTGAGGAGAACGACACAGCAGAAAAACACCGCAAGGATCCTGAGCGAATGATCCCAAGGGGGAAAGAGCTGGCTCCCATGGTCCCAATTTGTTTTTTTTGCCAGTTATAGATGGCTTATATATGGCTTATCCTTGGCTTACATATGGCTATCTCTACTATATATGGCTACATATATATATATATACATATGGGTAGATTATCATAATTCACTGACCTGAAAAGTTCTGCTATTTTGGGATAGTTACCCCTTACTAATCATAATTCCAATTGAGGTCGCAGAGAGTTTTTTCACCACGGATCCGGATCCCTGCGAGATCCGGATCCGTGAGAAAGTGATGTATGTCATGTCCCCATAGTGATTGAAGCAACATATCGGGGTTCAAGGGGGATAAGTATGGGAATTAATGGGATATATAACCACATATAACCACCAATATCATATGTTTGTGTCCGAAAATTCGTGTGGCAATGCAGTGAGAAAAACACTCATTCATCATCAAATATCCAGAGCCCGCCCCATTTTCAGACCCGCAAAAATTGGGATTTGGCCCTTTGGCGGAGAAAAAAGTGAAAAAAAAAGAGAGCGGCAGGTTGTCAGAGTGCGTTTTTCATCATTTTTATCATTACATGTATGCAGAGAGATCATGGCCTAGAGGATTTACAATGAATGAATAAAGTAACATGTGTGTTCGTGTAATTCTATGATCGTTGGAGGCGTCTTAGCTTCTAGCTAGTTCCATGTGCTTCTAGCAGAGATCGAAGAGGAAAACTTAGCAAGATGGTGGGCAGCCTTCAATCCGTGAAATACGAAAATATGTGTAAGTGTTGTACTAGGAAATCTTAAATCCAGTGGTCACACCTGATGAGGCAGTAGTTTGCACATCAGGCAACAATAAACTACAAGGACCTGAAAACAAACCCATTAAAACAACTGAGAAATATTCAGTTGGGGAGAAATACAATGTAATACACAAGTTGTTAATATGAAATATTGTATTGAACCAGTGAATATTAGAGATACTCGGAATTCAACTTTGATCGGTTGCACCATACTCAAACGACAGGGTGGTGTTTGCTTATTTGTTGCATATGTTGAAAGCAAGAGGAAACAATTGTTTTCATTAACAGGAGATGTATTTTTTTCGGATGCCCTGTTTTGCCCAAGCAGTGCTGCATCTTCTTGACAGAAATCCCAGCATCATCAAGAGATGTTGCAATGGTTTAAGGCATATTGTACATTTCAAATGCGTACAGTTTGCTGATGAGAAGGTTCCACATTATGCAAAGAATGTACACTACCATGAAAAGAAACCAATGGCAATGAAAACAGGCAACTTTCAAGTTTCTTTGAAAGAAGAACGGATTCAGCAGGGCAATGTGTTTGGCTGTAAATTTTCTGGTTCTGTGTGTTCATGTAATATGTATGTTTTATATATATAATGTATTAATACATAATATGTGTATCTAAAAGAGAAATTGTTTTTGGTTGAAAACAAATTGTAATGGCAAACAAGATTGCACACCCCAAGTGCCTTTAAATACAGATGGTTTGGTCTAGACATGTTTTAACAGGTTGTTTAGATTCGATGTGCCTGAAAGCCTGAAAGCCTGAAAGCCTTTTGGAACATGGAAACCAACCAAGAACAAAATACACCATTTAATGGCAAGTGCCACGACTTCAGACTCAGCAAAGGAGTATGCAGAAGGCGCCGAACAGGCAAGGAAAACACCAAAACAACAGATTTGGAACCAAAAACTTTAAAAAATATGGAAATGATAGGAAAAAACTCAAGAAAACCAATATACATATTTATATACATATATATTATATTGTTCTAGGCTCTTTGGGGGGAAGGCTCCCGGCCAAGACCCTCTGAGAATTGTTTTTTTGTTTTTTCCAAAAGCTTTGAACTTTTCGACAGTTCCCCCAGGAATTTGGCAGCTGCATCTATTCAAATCCATTAGAAACATGAAAAATTCAGAAGGGCAGATCCATCAGAGCGCATGACCTCATGAATTATAATTAATACAGTTTCCCCCACCTGTCAGGTGAGGGTTGTTAGATTTTATGTCAGCTGTCCCGCCTCCTCCTCCTGCGCCTCCTCCTCCGCCGGACCTCAACTGCAAGCGCTAGATCGCAATGTTCCCCGCCAGACCCGAACAGCAAGCCAGGATCAGAGTGTTCCCCGCCGGACGCTAGATCGCAGTGTTCCCTGCCGGGCCCGAACAGCAAGCTCAGGAGCAGAGTGTTCCCCGCCGGACCTCAACTGCAAGCGCTAGATCGCAGTGTTCCCTGCCGGGCCCGAACAGCAAGCTCAGGAGCAGAGTGTTCCCCGCCGGACCTCAACTGCAAGCGCTAGATCGCAGTGTTCCTCGCCGGACCCGAACAGCAAGCATAGGATCAGAGTGTTCCCAGCCGGACCCCGAACACGAAGAATCTTCGAAGATATAGCAGATAGAATGCCAGAAGAGAATGTCAGAGAGAATGCCAAATAGAATGTCCGAATAGATGTCAGATAGACTTGCAGAATATATGCCAGATAGAATGCCAGAACAGATGCCAGATAGAATGCCAGAAAGAATGGCAGATAGAATGTCAGGATAGATGTCAGATACAACGCCAGAAAGAATGGCAGATAGAATGTCAGAATAAATGTCAGACAGTCAGACAGGTAAAATGTCAGAATATATGCCTTGACATGCCATGGTGGGGATCACTTGAAATAAAGTAATTTAAAATTGCACTCTGGCGGTCTGCCGTTCTGAAAAAAAAAGGTGCATTTAATAACAAAGTCCGGAGCCAAGAAAAATGGGGATCTACCCAACCAAATGAGAAATGCAACTGATGAGAAATAGGCTAGAGCGCAGTCAACAAACATCAGCAAACGGTGAAACATGAAGGACAAAGCATGGAAATTGCACAACCAAAATGCTTGCTTTACAATAGAAACTCGAATTCAACAAGTGATACAAGTGATACAAGCCTGGAATACAGTATACAATCCCATGCCCAAAAAACAACGAACTTCTGTGGATGTCTCTTTACGGCTGAATGAACAAAGTCCCATCCTCATTCCCAGATGACAAAAAATCGACCGCTGGGAAATCCCCGGCAGAAAGGCAAGTTGTTTTTTTAACCGATCCAACTCTAGATATACTGTATCCACTTTGGATATATAGATATATATATATATTATGTGCAGTGTATACGATATACGTATATACATATATATATAATTATGTAACATTTCATATACATTGATTGCAAATTCAATGAGAAAACCGCAATGAAAAAAACACTGCTAACATTTTCAGACTGGGACCAACCAGGTACCTTTGCGCTGCGACAAATGGGGGATCCCCGAGTCCCCCTCATGGCCCATGGGGTTCAATGCTAAGTCATGGTCTAATGACTTGGATGATTTGGGGGTACCATCATTTTAGGACCTACATTTCACATATCATTTGCATGCACTTAGGACATATAATCTAATCATATAACCTATGTGTTCAACTAGTGTTCACCATGGTTTCACACGTCCCCTATGATACAGTATACTATCAACCTCAGATTGACGCCTGGACATTTTGATTGGGGGTTGTCAGGCCTTACGAAGCAGGGGTTGGCATCATGCCCCTCAGGTTTAACATAACCCCCACGAAATGAGTCCGGAAGACTTGAATGTTGTTTTCCTGCCCAAAAAATTGTAGTGTGGGGAAAAAAAAATACAATTCACCAATTGCATCCAATTGCCATATGCCATGCTGTACCAGCCTTTTTCTGATTTGTTTGTTGCAACCAATTTCGAAAAAAAAAAAACGGGGCTGCTTGTTTTAGCCCGCTCTTCAGCCGCAAGTCCGCACTTGCTCGGAGGAGAGCGTGATGCACAGGCGTGACCAATCATCACCTGATTGCACGATCCAGTTTTCTTCCGGAGAATCCAGAGAAAAGCCCTATCATTTTGAGGGTCGAAATAGCTTGGTTACACCAGGCAAGTCCCCAAACCCAAAGTCGAGATTCTTTTTTGGCTTTGGATGGTGTTACTGTTGCGGTTTCCCAGGTTTGGACAAAGCATGACAAAGCCGTCATTGGATGGCAGAAACGCATAAAAAGCGAAGGTTTGTCAAGGTTTCCAGTCTAACTCTTCCCTTGAACTTAAAGGATTTAAACCAACTCAGCAAGAAAGAATTGGGAGACCCACATTTCGAATAATCGTGGCCGGCGCAGCTGGAATCTTCATATTATAGTTCTTGTCTACTCGTGATAGACCAAGGGATGTGCACGTCCAACTTGGACTAAACAGACTAATGAAATATAAATATGTGCGGGGTTCCATCAATGGGGGTAGCCCTTTATCGCTGGATGGTTTATTTCATGGAAAATCCCAATCTTTTTAGAATATAAACATGGAAGGTTGACATCCATAATATAGGTTTTAATATCATCCTTCCGTAATATATGGGATGTCATCCTTCCATAACATTGCAAGTGGTATCAGCTTAAAAAAAACTAGAAACAGTCTGATGGCCGCAAGGTGGGTCGAACACATTCCCATTCGACATACTTAGATGAACCGCGCATTCCAGTTCGTGAATGGTGAAAATACATAGCTCAGTTCAAAAAAAGACCTATACCTGAGGATAGTCTCTGTAGACTGCACTTCAATTGGATTAGTATATGATTATTATTACCCGCTTGCTAAACTTGAATGCACCCTGGAGTAGATTACTCTAAATCGAAGATAATCGAAGTAGCGCAGGCAAGTCTGGTCGTCTTCATCCTGCATGTGCATGCCACCATTGCCATGGTCCATTTGAGGACAGTGCGCACGTGTTAAATGCACCAATCAAATGGATCCCCAAAAAAATGAGTCCTACGGGGTCCCACTTCAGGATCTGAGAATCTGAGTATCTCATGACTGGGGAAACCTGGGAAGAAGTGGGGCGGCTGGCTGATGTTCATATTAGATTTAGTTAGATTCGATGTTTTCATGGACCATGCTTGAAGTATTCGAGCCGCAATTTGTCGGCTGCAGATGCCGACAATGCAGATACTCCAAAACTGTAACTCCAACTGGCGGCTTGGGACAATGGCCCCATTCTTGGAAGAAAGAGATGATATCTAAAACCACATTTCCTAACGATGTGAAATTCCCATCTGTGTTGTTTACATTGAACATGTTTCCATCATGTTCCATCCCCATTTTTCTGGCAGAAACGCCCCCATGTGTGTTTCACAACTGTGTCCTGCTTGGCCCATCTCCCCCTACGAAAATGAACATAAACTGCCAAGGAGTGAGGATATCGAGAGATGAAATTGGGACCCCTCAGATTCTCTCGCAAGGTCAGCATCGGTGGATTGTTTCTTTGATTTCTAAGCTCTGTGCTGAACTTCGCGGATTCAAAATTCAATACATTACCGGCAGAAAACAATCCCATTTGTAACAACTACTGTAGGTAGTACACTAGACTCATTAGTGAATGTTCAGAATTGACTGGCAATTCTCATCAAGTGGGTTGGGGACGATTTATGCAAATTTTTGTCGAATTTGTTTAGGTTTTGCAGTAAGGTTTACATCTGAGAATCTGAGAAAAAAATATGAACCAAGTTTTTCACCAACCGAGATTTTGGGGATTGTTTTTGCCCACATGTCCCCAATAGAAAGCCGCTCTCCTGACACTGGAAATCTGAGGCTCCCTATTACAGGTTCCTCCCATGGGGATGATCCAACTGTCCCAACTGTCACATTGAAAGATTAGCAGAATTGCCTTGTAAGTGGCTGAATTCTATGGTTTATGGTAGATATAACTATAGTTAATGGGGGTTCTGATGGTTTATAAACCAACAGACATAACTGGGGTGCTGAACATGTCCATCGCAAACAGCCCATCTGATTCAGATTCTTTGACGCACGGAGCCCAAAGTCAGTGACGCTACGACCGTTACGAGCTGGGCGAAGACACATTGCAAGCCGTTGGTGGGTGCCATGCCATCATGCTGGTCATGCTGTTTCGTTTTTTGTGTTTCATACCTTAATCCCAGTAGAACCACCAACCCAACATTAAAATGATTTAAAATGCATTAACACGGAGATTTGCTGGATGTTTCAAAGCTTATAATGATACCCCATTAAAACAGATTAAAACCACCACTTCAGAAGGGTTTACCCAGTGTTCCACACTGGTTTTACTTCCTGGTCCCTGCAAGATTGGCAGCACCGGCATCATGCGACCTGCATGCCTCCCGTCTACTCCCTGCGTCGATCCGATCCCTTTACGCAGATTGGAAGCAGAGTTCTCATGAAACTCAAAAAAAAACGATCTAGCATATTATTTGGAAAACCTCATTTTCATATAATTGCCATATGTAACATACTGGCACTAATTGGTGGTACAATTATGTGATTTTTAGACATCCTGGACAGAATTTGATTTTTGGCTGTGTGAAATAGTCTCCTAATTGCAGCAAAAACATAATCCACTAAGCTACCTAAGCAAGGTTTACCCACTACCAATGGCCCTACAAAATGTAGTGTTTGTACTAAACTAACCGGTACTATGTACGCCAATAAAATGAACGCGTCAAAAAACAAGGAAATCGGTTGAAACAAAGTAGCAAGGCCCAATTCAATCCAAAGCATCTTTGGGATCACCACAAAACCTGGAGGTTGATTGATTCCCTTCGAAAAGTGAATTTTTGTAGTGGGAAAGCCATGGTAAACCATGGTAAACCCAACTATAATCCATCTATAATCCCGAAAAAGGATCAAAATCAAAGTGTATTGCTACAATGCTACAATTCATTCAGTGCGGGATCGAAAATCGACGGCATTTTCCGAGGAATGTCCAGCGTCTTAAAGACCTTGACTAGGCTCAACATGTTTGTACCGACCTGGTTGGTGCTTTCAACTTCTCATTACCTATCATGACCTACAAATATCTGAGGTGTCCACCATTTTTGGACCCGAAATCTTTGAAACCACCAACTTTTCTACTGGCAAACAGCACTGCTAAGTCTCCGCCGAAACGTCTTCATTCTATATATATATAAAATACATATATATTATATTGTAGATGCCATTTCGGATGCTCCACATCTGTAGCATTGCACTGCATAGCAGCCTTATATCAAACATGGCAGAGGCATATTTCAATCCAGACTCCACTCATTTTAGCTAGAGAGACAATTAGTCAACCCGGGATTTTCAGTGGTATCTCAAATATCCTTCAATTGTCATTTGGAGGCATCCTGCAATTTGAGACAAACGTACTCCAGCACTTGAAAGAAGGTTGCAATGAACCCACTTGGGTCATAGTCGAAAAGTGGGAATAGCAGTCATTTTACTCATCAAAGGATCCAGTTTTGGGTCAACGATTCTGAGCCATCTCCATGTTTGCTAGGAAAGTCCATAGATTCCATAGTGTCATGTCACTTAATTCCTGAAATCCAGCCTACAATTCCAATCGCCGGTTGACTCAGAACGTGCTTATGCCACTGTACATTGATCTCATCGATCTCGCGTCTTCGGGGGACTTGATCGTCACCCGAGTGAAACACCTCGATTTTTACGGGAGCCCTGGGATTGGTCGCATTTTTCGTATTATCCTGTTTGATCCTGGCTGGGTTTGCTGCTTCACATGGTGGGGTATAGCACTGTAATCCATCCGTAGCTATATATAGGTAGTACAAAGATCTGACTATATACATATATATATATATAATGGAGTTTTCTGTATGGCATAGTACTGGTAGTCCCTAAACAATCATGGTATAAGGCTGCCTTCAGAATCTAGCAACATTTAGTGCTATTTTGAGCACTGCTTTTTTGGTGAAGAGGATAAACCAAGAGTGGCCTGGGGATCTTCATCAATGTTACAGCCTGGGGCTCCTTCGGCGCATCGCCTTGCTAAGTCCGGAGCAACTCTTGGTTTTCAGGATGGGCCTCCATTTGTTGGCCAACAAATTTGGAAAAATCACGATCAACCAATTTCAACATTAACGGTGAAAATTAAGGGCTTTCCGTGCTTCTCTATATTGATAAAGCAATCTTACGTATAGATTTATACTGATTATAGATGTTTGGGATCTTCCATGCTTTTCCATCTTGATAAATCAAGACCAACCATGGAAATGTCAGGCGTCCCCCGAAAAACACATCACACCATGAATCTCCTACAGCCTGACAGCCACTTTTTTTAGGCCTTGACTTGCGGACCTGAGCGAAGGAAGCAAGGTTTTATCCTTTCCAAAGCCTACTATGAATTGGACAGGTTTGTCTGAAAATAGTGTACCCTCAACCCAATGGTTAATCATCATTTACCCTACTTGATGGATTTTCCAGATACACCTATACCCAGATAACCCCCCCAAAAAAAAAAATGTGATAAATTACTATGAAACTTGCTACTCTTTCTATCTCGTTCTATTCAAAAGCTTTTTTATCAAATCCTGGGTTAACATTAGTTGGTAAAGTTTGGATTCCTTGACCATCTCTGCATCTGTCTGGCATGGTCTGGAATCTTGATGTTTCATCTTCACAACGTTGCCCCGAGGCAAGAGGCGGAGCGGATTTTATTTAATCCTGACCAAGCTGAAATGTCTTGCAGCCCTGTCACACGAGGTCTCAATGACTTGCAGAGTTGTTCAAAGCCCGAATCTCAATAGCCTATCTATGCAAAAATGTATGCACGGTAGGTACCAGGTAGCCACCCCAAAGCTAGCGAAAGAATGCCTTCGTGAAATTGGATCCATGGTGAGAACACAGGGTGGAACATTGAATCTTACAGGTTTGGGTGCGCATGAGGCATGAGGCATTTACTTGATCTGTAGTGAACCTGAAATGGCATAGATCAGTGAAGCATAAGCTCACTTTAAGCTCCTTTCCTCTCACCGTAGTTCCCTGGATTGTAGTAACACACACACACACACTAATGGAATGGTTATAAACCTTTCATCAACAGGAATTTTTCATATCAGTGTAGGTAATGGCCATTTGGTTCTGCACCGCTGATTACCAGCTTGGTCAGGCTTTTAACGAATGGCTCAGTTTGTACATCGATTTGCTCGGCACCTTCCGGGAGTGACGTGGGATTTATGCTGTGGCTGCAAGGGAAAAAGGATCATGTCTGGTCGGTCACTGAAGATTTGGGAAAATAACAACATCAGAAACATTCAGAAACCCCAAAACGGTAATCTTAGGGGGAAAAAAGTCCATACCCTCTGCATATTTGTTACATAGCTATGGAAAAAATTGCCCTGTGAGGAGTTTAATGATTTCCCTCACGTCAGAAGTTGGCGGCGCCGGCCTTAAGCGGAAACTGCTTCGATAGATTCCAGCAACCTGAAGAGCGCAGTTGGTTACTGGTTGCTTGGGGAAGTTGCCAAGATATAGCTGAAGTCTAAATAAACTGGCTACATCCCATTACCCTCATGTTTATATAATCGTTGTGGTATTCCCACCATTCGCATCCATTCGTTTACATATATATAATATACCATGGTTGTGGTATTCCCACCATTCGCTATGATGTGTGAAGGATGGCAGTGGTTGGTAGACCAACCCTACATATCCTACAGGCGTCCCGTAGGATCGGTTTGTTTCCCCAAGGCTTGTTGATTTCTGGGTCCATCTTAAGACCTTGTTGTGAAAATATGTGGAAAGCGGGCAGCCCAAAATAACTTAGTAGTCATTAGTCATTAGTCATCAAAAATACAAAACCGTCATCTAAACATAATTGATTTCGCATAATAAGAATCATGAAACAACCTTGGCTCCGCACGCAGAGCACACACGGTCCACATCCTGCAATGGATTCTATT